ATTCAAGCCTTGCACTATGAAGCTAACGCCGCCAGCAAACTGTCATCCTTGTGGTGTATGGTGTGCTGAAATCCAACCATGCCCGCCTAAGTCCAAAAAGAAGGTGAATATTTATACAATTTTGGTTTGCTAAAGCAATATTATTAACAAAATTTGGATTTCAAACTTACAATTCTATTTTGATCTGACAAATGATAACAGCGAAATATCTACACCTTTCCCAGGCCTCATTTGACCCCACATGGAACAGATTTCACAGTAGTGACCACGCCTATATCCCACAATCAGTCCGATGATGTTTCCCTTTTAGATAAACGCATTTGGGGCGATCGTTTCAGTTACTGCATTTCGCTTCCAACAAATAATGGGCAAACACCTTTAATAATGATGATGTATTATGGAGTATTCATTAATAACTTTGCTGTAAGACGCGTCGGTAAGAAATATAGAGCACGAATCGCACTGAAAATCGATTTTTATTGCAAACCTTCCCGTACGGACGAGTTTTCTAAACTTCTTTTCCTCTAGAGCTACAAATATGAGCCAGGTCCATGCAAGAGACCCTGCTGTAAACATTGGAAACCAAAAGACGGCGACTGTCAGTATGATCTGCCCTGTAAAGCGCACTGTTTGAATCACCCATCAGGGATAAAACCTAGAGCACATCGACAGCAAGCTTGTTGAATTGGACAATTTCCAACTACGCGCCGATGCCAACCATTATGGTAGGATCATGCAACGTAGGGTTTTTCATTTACTCATTTTAGGATTACTTGTAATATTTTAATTACTCTTAAGAGACAATTTGTATCAATGGTTTGGCCAAATGAAACCGGTCTCGCCTGTCGAACGCGGAGGTACCACCCGGACGACATCTAATGCGGTGCAGAATGTATGCATGTTACATGCACACGTGTTCCCTCGCTAGAGTCCGTGTGGCGTCGCCCCCTCCCCTTTCCCCTAAATTCTCCAATAGCCCCACGGTATGGGTGTTTAGGCCTTCGTGGTGATTCAAGTATAAGAAATATGCTGAGCTTGTGCGGAGTCATCATTGCGACCACCTGGGATAGGCATGATGGCGAGGCGAGGCGAGCATGATGTGTACTAAACAGTCTGGTTTCGAATAAACAGGATGTCAAAGATTTAAAAATTGACAGAAAAAATATATCAAACTGTCACGGAAAGTAAAAAAAAAATATGTTCATAATACCAGAACAACATCCATTGGCAACGATCAAAGTTGGTTTACTCTCACATATTTTAACAATTTTTCGTCATGCAATGAAGTTGTTTTTGTTTTTTCCTAGCAAACAAAAAAATATATTTTTTAGAAAGTCAGCGGCGTACATTTTTTTGTCAAAATATTGTGTAAAACTAACCCACGAGACGCCACAGGGATCCATAATTATATTCTAGTTACTGCTAACTTTACGATTTATTGCAGTGATCAATACTGCCAAATTTGAACATAATAGACACAAGGATTGATGTATCTATAAAAGACCAACATATTTTAAACTTTAACCAAATTTTCCTAGACAGTTTTTGATCGAAATTTTTCCTTACAGAAGCCAAAATGCCCATACGGATCTACGAAGAACAGTGGACACTGATGATACTCAAGTGTGGAAAATAAGAAAGTTTAAATCGCGACTCAACCAGAGCATCAAAATACTTCAGAGCTATCTGAAAATCATTGAACAAATATTTACTTGTGCCGCTTTGTAAATGAATTTAGACAGATGGCAAAAAAGAGATAGACAAAACGAAATGCATTCCAATACATAATATGGTACGAAAAAAGTACATGAAACCTTAAACAAATAAGCAGAGTAGATCATTATGAAAGATAAATAAAACAAACATCATGTGATAATCACCTGAGCAACTGTAAGATTTTTGGTAGACCAAGGAAACATGAAAGTGAGAATAAGAGATCTTTTTTCTTGGTAAACTTTTCAAGGCCAATCACCATTGTAGCTTTCATTACTGAATTTGATTCAATACCCCCAAAAGTTGTTTCATAGTAAAATGGTTAAGTAAGTAGTGTTTCGCTTGGAAAATTTCGTTTTTCCTTAGTTTACTTTGAACATCCAAACTACCGGCTACATCATTATAATTTCTCATGAAAATGCGAACATAATGTTAATAGGTTTCTGCTATATTTTGTATTAGTCATCGTGACTTTGAAACCAAAAAATTCATATAAAATACCAAAGTAATAGCAATATGTATTGTAAATATATACGACTAAAAATAATTAGCACAATCATTGTCTTAATCTTGACGTTTATATAAGGATCTAAATTTATAAAAGTAGCTCCTGATTTAACAACTATATTAACTTTATGTAATACTAACATTAATTGCTTTCATTGATTAAGACTTCGTTATAACATCTTCAGGACCTTGAATCCTCAATGTAACTTGAGAAAAGCTGAAGTAGCTTTCTTAAAACCCGACTAAGATCTATGCTAGGTATGTGAATATCTTTATCTCAAAAACCAAGTGATTCACAAAAACGACAATTGTTTTGCACAGTAAAGTTTTGTACCAGTCTAAATTGTTGTTGGAACATACTACTTAAATATTGTTACCAGATATGTGAATAGTGTTACAATTTTCCTCGTAGGAGCATAGTGACCTGCATTTTTTCAAGAAATGTTTTAGGAACTATATTTTTTCCTGCCGTGAGCGTTACCGTGACATTTCAATGGCCCAGCAAGTTGAATTTCTTCTGTGCATGGTAAAATTTTTAGCGTTAATCTTTTTTTAGTCACTTTTTGAAAATTAGTGGTTATTCAAATTTTTATAAAACATATTGTAAATATACGCAGTACTTTCGTTTGCTTATTCAGTTAGGTTAAGAAAAATTGATATTTTAGGACAATAGATTGAAGAAAAATTACCCGATAAGTTAATTTTGTTCGTAAAAATTAGTTTGCACACATTTTTCAAAACAAGTTCCATGTAAATAAATTAGTATAAGTTTGAAATTATTAATTATTTATATTTAAATATAATATATCCCACTTTGATGGTCGATTTTTTTAAATAGTTTTTGGTCCATATAATTTGCATATACAATTATTGGTTTCTATCAAATTTTATTTAAGTTTTCATTATAGTTCTAACTTTCTGATTTTGATTTTTATAAGTGACTAAATACATTTAAAATGCAAAATTCGCCCGCAAATAAAAGTAGCGATTCGGAGTTAATGAAATAAGTTAGATTCAAGTTAAAAATTCATTACTAGGTTTTCAACACCTCGAAATATTTTGTTGTTTTTGTGTCAAATAATTGATGGCATTTTTAATATACATAACAGATAAACAGTTGCTCAGGTGACAATTTTTATGATCTAACAATCACATGGTTCTAGAGAGAATCCGAAATCACAACTTAAAAATGTCACTGGAGGTTTCCTGATAATAAAAATATCTAGTTTGCCTGAGCTATGGAACATTTTTCTGGTAATTATTCGATATCGAAATGCAAGAATTATACATATTATATTCTCTTAAAGAAAATCGGAAAAAGTGACCAATAGGGGGTCACCAGTCTAAATTTCATGGGTGATTTGATTGTTACCACAAGCCAATATGTGTACCTATTCATTCTCATAAATTGTCCTAAAATTATATAGTATTTTGAAAACAAAAAAAACCCAAAAATTGGTCCATATAATTTGCATATACAATTATTGGTTTCTATCAAATTTTATTCAAGTTTTCATTATAGTTCTAACTTTCTGATTTTTATTTTTATAAATTTTTATAAGTGACTAAATACATTTAAAATGCAAAATTCGCCCGCAAATAAAAGTAGCGATTCGGAGTTAATGAAATAAGTTAGATTCAAGTTAAAAATTCATTACTAGGTTTTCAACACCTCGAAATATTTTGTTTTTTTGTCGGGATATTTGTGTATCTAGAAATTAATGTATTTGTGTCAAATAATTGATAGCATTTTTAAGATACATAACAGATAAATAGTTGCTCAGGTGATAATTTTTATGATCTAACGATCACATGGTTCTAGAGAGAATCCGAAATCACAACTTAAAAATGTCACTCGAGGTTTCCTGATAATAAAAATATCTAGTTTGCCTGAGCTATGGAACATTTTTCTGGTAATTATTCGATATCGAAATGCAACAATTATACATTTTATATTATCTTAAAGAAAATCGAAAAAAGTTACCAATAGGGGGTCACCTGTCTAAATTTCATGTGTGATTTGATTGTTACCACAAGCCAATATGTGTACCTATTCATTCTCATAAATAGTCCTAAAATTATATAGTATTTTGAAAACAAAAAAAAAACAAAAATAAAGCGATCTCTCATGAAGGTGTTTTTGTCTTACTTTTAAATACATATATAACTAATAATACTGCCTCTAAGTCTAAGTATTCAGAAAAACCCTGTAGCAAACAAGAAATGGAGAACTCGAGAACCTCACAAATCAAAGGACTCAATCAAATCACACTTATATGTTTTAATTTCAGTTCATTGTACGACGTTTCGACCATCACTGTGGCCTTTCTTAAGTACAATTGACAGTTCTCTGACAATATATTTTTTCTACCAGCGTGCAGAAAGTACTCACTTTTAACACGCATCAGCTACTTTCTGCGCGCAAATGCGTGTTGAAAGCGAGTACGCGTACCCGTGCATGGTATTTTCCGTACGCTAGACCCAACTATTCGTGTCTTTAAACATTTCACCTCTATTGTGTCGGACCCTACGAAATTGATACTCCAATTCTGAGCCACAAATGACCTAAGTGTAAGAAATTTCATTCAGATGTGGCGACAGATTACGGAAATAGAAATGTTTGACAAGAGGCTCCAAAAGTCCCATTTCCTTCTCCAACTAGGGTTTTGTTACGCTTTATATTCGAAATCAATAATATTGGGTATCTGCAATATCCCGTTTCTTGGGTACCATAGGCATATATGTCTCATCTCCATTCTGTATTAAAATAAGAATCAACATAATTTTGTAATGAATTTATTACTAGCTTTTTAAATACCATCTGTAAATCATGACCTGAAAATAATATTTAAAATATCAGTAGGTAACATTAAATCTGTACAACCATATGAACGAATAAATGAATTAATTTACATTTTATAATCCAGGCATAATGAACGCCACGTTATCCAAGGTACTCATCAATTGTTCTGGACTACAGCAGTTTTCTTGTAACTCGGGTACCTGTTGAGTCAGGCAAAGTAAAGGTCCCAAAGCACATAGCAGGGAATCAAGGAGAACGGATAGACTACCAGAAACAGCTATCTGACCCTGCAAAGAAAAAAGCAAGAAGGTAAATTTATACATTATTCGGATTTGATTTGAAAAATAAAACAGACGGTTGATATTGTCACGTATAATTTTAATGGAACTTATTGTAACAAATATGTCATATAACAACTTATCACTACCTTAACTCAAAACTCATCATTAAGGAATAATAAAATAACAGACAAAACATCAATCAAGAGGACAGGTCCGACATACCACTAAAAAATCAAACAAGAACAAATATACGGATTTAGTAAGCAATGTGTGTATATATTTGTTTTTGGAAAATGTGTCATTGTGAAGGAGCGTCTCTATCTCTCAATAGAGGGCTTAAAAAACAATCTTCTGGTGTACCTCATGTTCCTTCAATCGTTCTCCAATAATAGTCAAGCTTTCTCCGAGTAACTTGAGATGAGCAGCGACATCTATTGGTTTAATTCCATTGCCTTTGTATCCGCCATCCTTCCCTCTGGGACTAGGAGGCGAAATATTGATATTTTCGTAACCAATGGTGTTCGAAAACGTAGCTGCTTGAAGCTGCATAGGTTTGTGTGTTGGAGTTTTCTTTCCAGGCGTCCTGCTTCCTAGATCAAAGGCATATCATCAAAAAAATTATTTTCGGCACTACAAGAATTTTAATCAGATAACTATCAAGAGTATTACATAAAGGGGCGTCGAGGCGAATGTTAATGACAATGCTAACCCCCCTGTTGCCAACAAACCGTGATGTTCGATCATTTGCTTGAACAAACTAACACATTGCTCGACACACAGCGCCCAACCAGTGCTACTTATAATGCTCATGCTATGTAATACTATTGGTAAGATACTGTACGGTAATTTTAGTTTATCATAGCTCACCTAAAGAATAGATAAACAAAATAGTAATGTATGTAATTTTCGACGATCTATTTACAATTTTTACGAATCAAAAACTATATGATATATACCTTTATCTCTTCCTTTAACTTTGTCAGATTTCATTATTTTCCCATCTTTGATTACTAGCTTTTTCTTGGATGAAGCATCCAATCTTCTGAAACCACCTTCATCGATTTCAAAATCGCTGTCCGATTCCACAGATTCGTCTATGCTCGACTCTGTTGTATTTGTTGCCGGCTCATATTCGCTGTTATACTCTGAACCACTTTCTTCCATGTCAAAGTGTTCATAATTACCCTCCTTGAAAAAAGATTCATAATTAGATGGACAGAGGCTCTATTGTCTGCAGAATTTAATCATTCTTAATCACAAATCCAACTAAGAATAAAACTATAGCATGATTACATATGAGCATCTTGAGTAAATGAAACTCACACAGGCCAGACAGTTTTGAAGTTTACCTACTGCAGAATGATTCATTGTGTACCCCTGTCAATTTTTAAAATTCTATTTATATCTGTGTCTTGCTAAAGTATTGTCTCATCGTTAGTAAAAACTATGACTTTAAATAACCTTTGTGATTGAATTTATTTAGTCGTTAATATAAACCAAAAATGGGATCGGACGTAGTACTGATCCTTGAGGTATCTCTGCTGTTATATTTAATTTACTTGAAATATAATATCTTGATACTCTTAACAATTCGGGGTCGATTATTTAAATATTTTTCAAGACAAGAGAACGGAGTTCTAGTACAACCATGTTTATTTAATTTTTTCAATAGTATATCATGATTTACACAGCTTAAGAAAAGTCACAAAAAAGAGCAAGTGGAATTTATATATCGTTTAAATTTGAATATAACTGGATTGCACTATTCCCATTTGTCGATAAAACGGGATATACGAGGAATACAAAAAGTTTTTTTTTACGAGAGATGTCTTTTAAGTTTTGCATATGGAAATAAAACAACACGGTAGGTAGTTTTAAATGACTTTATTGTTTTTCGAAGTATTCTCCACGAAGATTAATTCACATCAGCACGCGCTCGTACCAATTATCGAAGCACTTATTCCACTCGTTTGCTGGCAGATCCAAAACGGCATTTTTGAATGCGTCAACCGCTTCTTCTGGTGACTGGAACCTTTGACCACGCAGTCTGTTTTTAATTTTCGGGAAAGCAAAGAAATCGTTAGGACTTAGATGGGGACTAAATGGAGGATGGTTTAATAATTCCACGTTTTCTTCCGTTAAATACTGCCTTGTTTTTTGGGCTGTGTGCGAGCTTGCATTGTCTTGGTGGAGGATGATTCTTCCTTCGGGGTTGATTTTTCGAAGCTCGGTGATGTCTTTTGGTAAACAAATGGTGGTATACCAATCCACAGCAACAGTTCTTTACTCATTAAGAGGAATTGTTGCAATATGACCCGCTTTTGACACAAATGTCGCGACCATCTTTTTCGAAACACTTCGAGAACGGATGACTTTTGTTGGCTTTTCTTCACCTTGGAACACCCAAACAGCCGACTGTTCATAACAGTAAATCCACGATTCATCACCACTAACAATGCTGTACACATTTTTTGAGTTTCTGGAATTGAAACGGTCAAGCGTTTTTGACACCAATTAGCCCTGGCTGCTTTCTGCTTTTCAGTCAACAGGTGGGGTATCCAACGAGAAACTAATTTTCTTACTCCTAATTCTTCATGTAAAATTTTTTGAATTGAGGTCCTTGAGATTTTCAAGGACGCCTCAATCTCGCGATATGTCACATGTCTATCTTCAATGATGAGTTTGCGCACAGCATCGACGTTTTCCTGGGTGACTGCCGTAATTGTCTCTGAAAGTTGTAATAAATTATGGCGCGAAAATGTTCTCGGTTGAGATCCATTTTTCTAATGACTTCGTGACACTTAAAAATTCACTGTAGTGAGAACACTGCACGTATTGTTGTGAAACTTTCAATTTAAAGAGTGAGGTTAAGATTCAGTACTGACGTTCGATCCGCGCGGCCTCCTATGTTTCTGTGTATATGCAAAACTTAAAAGACATCCCTCGTAATACCGACAAGGCAGGAATCTATTGCGCTTCTTACTGTTTAGCGTTTCGTATCGTTAAATCGGAAAGATGCGTTATGTTGTTAGGCATTGTTAGTCATCTTTATACCTTTTTAGGAGACGAATCGAAATTTTCTGTTTTTCTTTGTGCAGGCAAAGCTGACCTTTTGTTGAAGCTTCTTTCGATTTCGTCGGGTGATTCAAAATCCATCAATTTTGATGACTTTTTTCGTACCCTACCACTTCTGGATACTCCCGTGACTTCTAGATCTGAAAATGTTGCAATATATTTACAAATTGTCCAATATTAAAGGCATGCGTCCACATTGCATGCATCAGACTAGAGAGATTTTAGAATGTTGTATGGAGATGACCTATTGTAGAAGTGTGACAGTGCGTTTATCGCTTAAGGTCGCGGAAAGTGTTGATACCCCATGTGTTTACGAGGATAAGGTGAAAAGTCCTCGGCGTGACAGAAAAATGGCGCTCCAATCAGACATTTGTAATTCCTCCATCGGCACACCTGTCATTTGTTCATATGACCACTTTCAACGTTCTCGCAAAAGGCTTGCCTACATGAATTTGATGGATGGATAACTTGGTAGTTTAACCCACATGAAAATTCTTCCAAAGGCAACAAAAGCCTACAGGAACTCTGCTTTTTGTGAGAGAGATAGCTCAGGTAGTGGGGGGTACCGGAAGAAAAGGTGAGAAACATCATGCAGAAAGAACGGATGATGCGCAAGCTCAGCGTAAAGGTGGGTGCTGAATGCCGATCAAAAGCTTTTGTAGCAATGCCTGGATCCATTCAATAGAGATTCGACCGAAATGGATTACATCTGTATGAAAGGTCATGGTGTTTTGGGATGTGGAGGGGATTCTGCTAAATGACTACCTTGAAAAGGTCTGACTTATAGAAGAGAAAACATTTTTTCAGGACAACACACCTGCTCACCAAAGTGTTGGCAATGGAAAAAATGCAAGATTTGGGGTACAACTTGCCACTTTCGTCTATTCATAAATTTGAAGAAATATCTGTTTGAATTGGGTTTACTTAGGTACAATGAAGTTGAGAGGGGTTGTAAATGGATATTTTGAAAGCCTTCCAGACTCCCATTCCAAGATCCTAATGTTGAAAAAAAGTTGAACCAAGTAGAAGAGATGCGGAAAAATAAAATGTGAGCTGTATTTATTTCATTTTTTTTATCTAATACCTACACTAGAATATCTTTCTTAAATCAATGATCAAAGTTTCTGTAGTGCTATAGAAGAAGCTCTGAAGTATTCCAATTTTTTGCTTGGATCATCTGATATCAATAATTTATTCAAAGAAGTATGTTAAATAATAGGCACTTCAATTACATTTTTTGCATTTTATTATAAAAGATATAAAAATATTTAATCAACATCTTCATCATCATCTTGCTTCCACCCATCTTCATCACTAAGAAATCTTCTCTTCACTGTTGTGTTCATGTAAGGTCTAAGCGCCCATTCTGTTTCAGCAGAATCCACAGTATCCAAGGTGCCTAATTTTATCTCGTACAATTTCAACTGGAATCTAGGTCCCAACTCGCTTAGTTCAACCTGAAACATTGAAAATCATATAAAAATAATTCTTTCAAATGGTGTTCTAGTCATACAAATCATTGAAAAATGGGTCATCTAACTAACTACAAAATACTAGGTGAAAATAATGCATTCAAAATTTAAAAATAACTATATCTGCTCTTTTGTGTATGATATAATAGAGTTGATTGAACTGAATATACTGTTTTAAACACCATAGCCAAATATAACGAAAATATGTAAAATAGTTATAGATTTCACAATAAAATGTTTTGCCACCCGATTTTTTTGGGGTTGAAATTCAATACTGCATACAAAAAATACTGTGAGTGTGAATTGTCATATCCTTACCTGTTTATCTACAATTTTGTATGTATGGTTCCTGAAACTAATGTGATCATCATGGTTTGCAAGTGTGATCACCCTTTTTGAATCCTCCTTCGGCACTGGAAACAGATACTTCAAAATACTCATCACCCGTTCTCCCAACTTTGTCTTAAAATTATGAAAAACCAAATGTGGATACTGTTCTGACATAGTACCTATATCAGGAATATCATGCCTCATCACAACATCTGACATACTGAAGTATGCTGTAGGTCCATAGGGCAAGTGGCAGATCACCAGTCCATCTGGAACTCCTCTATGCTCATGGACGATTATGAAATCTGTGACATCATTGGCTCTGCAAGCATGCATTAGTTGTTTCATCTCGTAGTTACCACGATTCATTCTTTGCGCATTGGGGAAGATCAATCGTAGCTCTTTTACAAACATCTTCAATCTGGAGCTAGGATCTCTAGACGTGGTTATGATTATTTTTGGATCTTCAACACCTGCATAACGGTATTCATCGTCAATCGAGTCTGCTACTGTACCGCCACTTACTCCTCCTATAAGAGCTGAGGCTTCAGGTCCACAATCCTCCCATTCTAATTTATTTACATAGTGTAGTGCCTTTTTCTGGATATCACCGTGTATTGGAATATTCTGCTCTAGGCTCTTTTTGACGCGGTCTTTCTTTTCTTGTATTGATTTCTGTCTATCCTCTACTGTTTTTCTGTACAAATATTCTCGCCTGAGGCGAGCTTGCCTACGCAACATCTTTTAATAAAAGCCTTTAGGAATACGACAAACAATGCAGAATGCACGCTGTTCGCCGTTTCTTCGCATGTCAAAATATAACCTCAAAACACCGGAATGTCATTTGTCAAAAGTTTGAAGCCAAAGATGCAACACAACAAATAATACATGGAGACAAAATTCGATAGTTAGGCCCCAACCTAAATCAGATCTAGTACCTTTATAAGGCCGTATATGAAGGTATCAAATGCACACCCGAATGTCTGGTTTAATTTTCAACCTAATAGGGTTTTTTCAGTGATTGCTACTTTTTGTATGTCTGCTCAAAATTCAATAGTCATTAATCGACACCGAAAAAATATCGATATTATCTCCCATCCCTAGTACTGTTGTTTATAAGACAAACAAATGCTTTTTCCAGTTTCAATCCGCCTTTATGATACAAATCGACAAATTTCTGGCACGTCCCACACTGGGATACGTGTGAAAATTAAACGAATACTTACCTTCAGTTTTTTGTTTCTTTGATTGGAAGTTATCCATCGCGTCTCGTCAAGTTGCTAGAGACCTGTGAGAAATGTTAGACAGACACGAATTATACAGTGAAATAATGCCACGAATTCACTCTATTCACATTCAGTATGAATAAAAATATCGAATGGAAAAAGGCAAAATAATCCTAAAATCACTATCATCACCAAAAAGTAAATAATGGAAGGTCACTCCAATTTCAATTAGACATTGACATATATATGTTTTTACTAAAATTACCGGATTCCTATCTTTCGGTACGTAACGACTCGTTCGATAATATAGTCCAGTTAATGTAGGTGACTAATGATGAGCTTTCAAGGAAAAGTGTTAAATACGATCGACGACGCCAACTGGCGAAATAGGCAATTTGAGATTATACAAAAATTGAATTACAAGATGAATTACAGGTTTTGAAAATAAAGGCGATTCATAAACTCTAATTTACAAAAAATTATATGTTAACTGGACTATTACAAACCTGTCCGTTCCGTATCGAAAACATCATGACTCCAAAACAGGCAGGCACCAGGCAGTGACAGGTGACGTTCTTAGTTGTTGAAATACATCAATATTAAAATCACAAATATTTTGCATTTTCAGTTAATTTTCTCAAATAAATTTCCATATTTTAAGGTGATTTAACTTTGCGCTTGCGGTTCATTCGTAATATGAGTTTACAGTTTTAAATAGTGTTCAGAAAATTTGAGAAAACTCTGTTTCCAAGTGTATTAACCATGGAGGAGCTGCCAGTGGAAATTATTGAGAAAATCTTGATTAGCCCCAAAATATCAGTGGAAGATATGATCCACTTTTCCTTAACATGCCATCACTTCCAAAATATTGTCATGAACAGCAACAAGATTTGGAAAACAAAGCTGTTTCAGAAGTGAGTATTACAATGCAGCCTTTGGTTGCCACAGTATATCAGTTTTACTTTGAATATGATGGACAAAAAGACCATTCAATATACAGAAAAGCACGACACAAAATATTTTTTCTAAACTAGCTAAAATTACCCTTCACTCTAATATTCAACTATGGTTATCCAAAGTCTATCATCAAATCAGTTTTGATGAGGGATCTTACAAATTTGCTGTCATTAGCTTGTGGGCAATTAATATAATGAAAAAATACAATTTGCAGGTGGCCATCATTAAAAAGTGTACTAGAGCATAAACATATTGTGTTTCAACATGAGGTCCGGTACATTTATGAGCTAAAAAAGAGAACAAGGCAAATGCTAGAAAAAATGCCTCCAAAGTTCTATAAAAAATATGAGATATCTGATTCTGATTTACATGAATGGAATGCAATTTTACATGAAAGGGAGGAGGTTTACAATTATCTCGTTTTGGATTTGATGGAAATCGTCAATACAGATGAGCCTATCAATAGTGTTGAGGTAGTACCATTAAAGTAAGTATTTTATATCATATTTTACTCACTAAAAAAATACAAATTAGTTTTAGTATATTAATTATATATAGCCTCCAGTGGTGTTAATACTATATATACTATCTTTAAAAATTGAGTACATGTTTTTGTAATACTTGAGATTGCAAGAGATATACCCCATAAATCATCAAAGTACTCAAATGTAAGCTAAAACTAACTAATATTCTTGAGTTTGAATAAGGCTATGCTGGAGGTTGAGACTTTCCTTTTCAGAAACAACTGTATGAAATTACAAGACTAATGTGTGCTAAAATTGAAGAAAAGAACTCACTATTTGTTTGAGCAGGAATTCCAAGCACTTCCTTGTAACATTTTGCTCATAAATAATAACCATAAATAATAATAATCAAGTATGTGTAGCTATTCTACAACTCAACCCTATTAAAGTTGTTGCCATTCAATTCAAAAACATGGTTTTAAACTTCTTAAATTTGCAGCATTTGAAGCTGTGTAGCTCTTCTATGGTGTTGACTTTGACAGCCTTTGTGAGATGTAAGCAAATCTATATAGCTAAGGATGAAAATCCAAGAGAATGATTTGAATACACTCAAGAAGCATCATAATCTTAAAGACACTCACTGTAAACTAAGATCAAATCAAAATAACTTGGTTATTGCTATAGAAAGATGTCATTTTTGCTTTTTCAAATATGATTTGTGAATAAGCTAGCTCAAAAAACAAAGTATGGACCGTACTACATTTTGTATTGTATTTTCAGTACCCCAGGTAACAAAACTCTTCAATATTATGCAAGCAAAGTTCTAAGATTTATCAGACAGCTACACCTATCTAAAGTGTGGAAAAATTACATATCCTTACCACCTCAGAGACAGATTTTAGAAGTAGGTGCTGTTTTTGTGGCTCAGTGGTGTCAGCCTAATGTAGAAGTAACAGTGGAGGATATTACAGCAAAATTGGATAAGATTGCAGAAGAGGTGAGTATGAAGTTATATAAGTACAGTATGGATCTTGGTTTTTCCATCAACTTTTGACCAGAGAGAAAGTTGAACAAAGGTTGTAGATAAAAGTGTATTTATGAATTTGACATTGAACTTCTATGGTATTGTGGTTTTAATTAAGCATTATACTGGTAATCTTGATTTGCTCTTCAGGGCTGCGAGACATTATTCTTGTGGGAGATTTGTTATAGACACATTTTGATTTTACAATTATTTATTATATTTATAGGTGAAAGAAGTGTTGAAAATCCAGCATCCCAACCATTCACTTTTCAAGGCCACACAAGAGGATCTGAATAAGTGGCGGATTGAAAATAGGACAGAGAATCAGTGGAATGTTGCAGAATGTCGCCAGTTGATTTCGGTATGGACTTTACACAGTTCCTTCTTGATCTGTTTTTCAATTTGCTTAATTTTTTATATAGGTCATGCGTGAAGTACTGTTCCAACAGATGGGTTTCATAGGCAACAACCATACATACTACATGCCGCAAAATTCTTTCATCAATTGGGTGCTGGAAAAAAGACAAGGTCTACCGATAACTTTGGCTATAGTATTTGAGGCAGTGGCGAGGCGATTGGGGCTGCGTTGTGAGCCAATCAGTTTTCCTGCCCACTTTCTGTTGAGATTCTGTGAAAGTCAAGATCCGGATTCTGATTGGTACTATATTGACGTCTTCAATGGGGGGCAGGTATGTGAAAAAAATCGATTGTGAAAAATTGTTTCCAGGGTGCTGGTACAGGACAAGGACGAACAAGCTATGTAGCTTTCGGAAATCGGCGACGAAGTCATGGTTGTTCAACATGTCCAACTCCGAGTGCGCCCAGACAAGTTTGAATCAATTTTTTAGCTGGTTATAGGACCTTCTGAGACTTTGGACATTCCTTTTCAGAAAAAACTACGTTTGAAACAACGACTAATATGGCAGAACAACAGCAAAAAAGTAATATGAATTGAATAACAGTCTCATTGTTATTTTAATGACGTCACCCTTTGGATAAAAAAAGGATCTGTCAACTCTTACCTCAATTTAAAACATTCGGGGCTATCTAAAGTGTATTCAAATGCCGTTTTTAACACGTCAAAACAAACTAGCCCGCGGCGCTGAAATTCGCGTGCTCCTATTGGCCACCTGGTCGCAAAGGCCTGTGTAAGGCAGCGACAAGCAAATAGAAGCGGCGTTTGAACGAGGAGCAAATGAGGTTTGAATAGACTATAGGGCTTCTACTGTGCCCACCTCGGCGTTCTTGCAAACGGCCTCTGTACGAGATAAGGCAAAATATGCGGCGCGGGATGGAAACGTCCACAGAAACGCTTTGAGTATCTGACGCGCTGGTGTCGTCACTGACACACCGCTACAGGAGAAATATATATATATTTTAGCAATATTTGGTTATTAGGAGTATTTACCACTTTAGCGTTCTGCGATGCTTTTGTAAATGTTTTTATGTCTATACAAACATATATTTTTCTGAATATTTCGTCAAGTAGATTGACTCAGTACTTATGACGCATTGACATACAACAGACACGGACTGACAAACTGACATAAATGAGAAACACGTATGTGATGCCGATATCTTTAAGCGACAGAAAACTTGTGAATCGAAGTTTGAATATCATCACGAATTTAATTCTTCCATTGTTTAGGTAGTCGTAGATTTTCCTTCAGAGGCGGCGGAAGTAAATCGTGCCTCCTTGATTGTCATAGTTTTCTACTTCTCCGTGTCCGAACTCTATTTTGAGGTTATGTCACAAACATCTATTTGCATCAAAGTGTGCTTGCTTTTGAGTTATATCATGTTTTATCAGCCTGAAATTTCCTACAGTTTAAAAAGGAAACATATCTTCACAATAGGAGAGCGCTGACGCTGACACGGGACAAGTGTAATCTAGAAATTTTTGAAGGAGAGAAAGGAGTATGACAATCAAGGAGGCCATAAACGCGCCCTACATGTAGGGACGACTGACGATACGGGCCTAAGATACACATATTTTCCCCCATGGAAACAGAAGCATGATAGATTTGCTTTTGAACCGATGTGCCTCATCAGTTTTCTTTGGAACCTCCAACGAAGGCGTAGAATGTATAGTCAATCTACTTGACGCCTCTTTTTCAGATTCTATTTATATACAGACATTTTGTTAGAGTGGTCATCCCATTTTTCAGGTGGTACGAAAAGGCGCTTGCCCCCACAGTCACTTCAGCGGCTCCCGTGACTTGTTCCCCGCTGCCACCGCAGTGCAGGTGGTCGAGCGCATGGCCAATAACCTGGAGGTATCCGCTAGGCAGCACGCAGCGCCTAACGGAAGGATAGCCAGGTTAAGGAGCAGCCTGGAACTCCTCAAACTGGTCAATCCTAGGGACATCTCGGCGTTGGTCAGTTTAGCCAGGTTGTATATGCTGCACAATATGGACACCAAGCCGCTGGAGCATTTCCTGCTGTCGCAGGAGTTTGAAGTACCTGAACAGGCGCAAAGGTAGGGATTTATTTTGTGATTCTAAGTGAATTAAGTTTAAAACCCATTTTTGATGAGGATCTTGTGAATTCACACCTTTAAACTGCTCTTTGGTATAATGTATAGTCTGCGAAAGTCATAAGTTCGCCTGTTTTCGACTAAAAATAAGGTGTAAGATCGCTTTAAAATAAACTAATCCTAAAATAGACTTGATTCCTGCCATGGTATTGAAGAGGTGTGCAGCGGAGCTTGCTCCAGTTTTTTCGCATTTTATTTCTAGTATCAGTATTCATAATTTCTATAAATGGTCGACTGTTTGTTTTTATGGAATCCTAATATAAAGTTGTACCAAAATAATTTTGTATATTCAAAAGTTTCTATAAAGAGCAATTTGGAGGGATATGATGAAGGTTTGTTTTTATGAACAATTTTTATATTATTTGTAAAGCATTTAGATGGTCGTTAATCGGATGTAACTTTGGAAAAAACACATGTAATCTTTTTCAGGGTGGTGCATATGCTCCGCGACTACGAAGCGCATCATGCGCGTACGGACCCGCCACTGTTCGGCCCCGTCGAGGCCGCTCAGCGCAGTCACAATCTGCTGTACGCAGTAGGCATGGTGATGAAACATCTGACGCTCAACTACCATTGCGTCATCTACGACTGGGATCCAGTGTGCTTGGCCGCTGCTGAATGGCAGGCGCAGAACAACGTCGACAAGTTGCAGCTGAAGCACGAGCAGCCGTTCTACAATGTCCTGGTGGAAGATGGGTCGCACAGATACGTCGCGCAAGGTGGGTAGTAACCTTAAAGAGCATTTTGATACATTGGAGAAACAACTTTCATGATACTTGATTCGTGACACCTGTAAAAGGATTGTCCACTTTAGTTGTGTCCTTACCTTCCTCTTGCTTCTTGAATTTTCTGCACTTTTTAGGTTGTATTTATATATAAAAAACATTTTCAGTAACGCAGTTTTTTCCAAAAAGCCTATGCGTATCTGTGATCTAAGTTATAGACTAAGGGCCGTATCGTCAGTCGTTCCTACAATTGTAGAACGCCTTTATTGCCTCCTTGATTTTCATAGGTTTCTAGTACTGCGACTCCGTGTCAGCGCTATATTTTGAGGTTATGTTACAAATATCTGGCATCAAATTGTTCATGCTTTTAATTCATATCATCTGTTATATCAGCCTGAAATTTCCTACAATTCAAAAAGAAAGCATAGCCTCACAATAGGAGAGCGCTGACGCTGACACGGAGCAGTAGAAATATAGGAATTTCCCAGCCTTTTTGAAGGAGAGAAAATACTATGGAAATTAAGAAGGCCATTAAAGGCGTCCTACAATTGTAGAAGTGACTGACGATACGGCCTTAAATCGGATGCGCAGATTCCGAATTCTAAGGTATTTTGATGCTTAGACTCATTGGGGTCTCAAGCGTCCTATTTCTACTTAGAATTCGGCCCCACGTCACTTTACGATAGATTTTTTTACTTCCTACGCCAACTAGCGAAGACGTATTGTACATCACGAAAAACCATGTCACTCGTTTCCATCGGACTGTCTGTCGGTGTGTCCGCTACCTAACCAAATATAACGTGAGAAGTAGTTCTCGGATTGTAATGAAATTTTTACATGAGATAAAAAAGCTTTCTAGGTTTTGAAAATCGGTACAGTGACGACAGAGCTAGGGGTAAAATACGAAACATATAAAAATCGCTCAAACTTCATTTTTTACGTTCTAGAGCCTCCGGAAAATTTTTGTAGAGGTTGAAACTTGGGAGTTAGGAATTGTAAATGTTACGTCTTTAGTATTAGTCGAAGATGTTATATCATTCTTATCTTCTGATCTGGGTAAACAACGAGAATATGATAGATCTGCTTTATCTAGTTTGATATGCAGAGGTCGAAGATTTATTATACCTAAGTGAACCTATCTAATCAGGATTCGATTTCGCCTTCTGAAACGACTTGAGTCACCTCTTTTTTTTAAACCTCTAACGAAGTCGTAGGAAGAATAGAGTTAGTCTACTTGACGTCATTTTTTGTCGGTTATATTTGAATTGAATTGGAGGAAATAGATTGTTTTTCATTGAGAAACTTTAATGTCGGTTTGAGATTGGCGGGAAGATCCAGAAAGGGTTTTTAGCATTTTAGCTTATTTGATGGACATATTCACAATTAGCGTCTCAAATAACCTTACCGGATGAAGTAAGAGTTATCTAGTCCTATTAATAAAATATATGAAAGTTAAATAGAAATTTTTTATTTAGCTGTTCTAAAAATGAACTATAATAAAAAAACAATTCTCCCGATTGGGACTGTAATGAAGCTCCTACTTCTCATGTTACATTTTGACAGCAGGATGGAAAATGGGCAAAACACGCTTTTATTTCAATACTCAAGTTGAAGGATCTTCATTATCGTTTGACTTGAAACTTCCAACGAAGACGTAGGAAGTATAGAGTCGTCGACTTGACGTCATTTTTTGTCGGTCATATTTGAATTGAACTGGAGGCGAAATTAGATTGTTTTTCATTGAGAAACTTTAATGTTTGCCAGCACAGTGAAGAGGAAGCTGCAGATGGGTCTTTCAGCATTTTAGCTTATTTGAAGGCCAACGGTTGTACTGTGTATAACGGTTGTACTGTGTATAACGGTTGTACTGTGTATCGGCGTTACGTTGAAAGTATGCAAGAAAAAATTAGTTATGAATGAAACAAATAACCTAAAATTATGTCATCTTAATGTTCGCTCGTTAACAGCAGATTTTAATAATTTTGTTCATCTGATCAATGATCAGTTTGATTTAGTCGGAGTAACAGAAACCTGGTTGAATTGCAATATTCCTGATCGCGATGTATTGCTTAATGGATATACATTTTTTAGGAAAGATCGTTCTGACAGGGGAGGTGGTGTCGGGTTATACGTAAAAGTAAATCTCACATGTCAACTGCTAGAACTAGATTTTGCTGTTAATACCTCACTTGAAATTATGAGCTGCAAATTGGTCGCAAATAACCGCAACTTTTTAGTCATTGTTGTATATCGTCCGCCTCATTGCTCCATGAATCAATTCATCCAAGTTCTTGACAACATACTCTCGTTTTTCACTCCACAGTATGAAAATATAGTGTTTCTTGGCGACATGAATGTTGATTTACTTAATCATAACAATATTCTTAGTAATTGTTTTGATTCCTATAACTTTACTCAAGTTATCAATGAGCCAACTAGAATTACGCAGTTCAGTTCTACATTGATAGATCCTATATTCATCAATGCTGGGGTAATGTTAAACAAATCTGGAACGCTAAATGCTGATATCATTTCAGATCATAGGTTGGTATATTGTGAACTTCTCGTGACTATTCCTAGACCAGAAGCAAAGTTTTTGACATATAGAGATCTAAAAAATGTGAATATTGAGCTGCTTAAAGAACGATTAACAACTTTGCATTTGGATGATGTTTTCTATGTACAAGACATTGATACGAAAGTTTCAATTTTCACTGAGCGTTTGATTCACTTATATAATGAACTTGCCCCAATCAGGTCTGCACGCATTACCAAAGCTGCTGCTCCTTGGTTGACATCAAATCTAACGCGTATACTTCGTTTGCGAGACAATGCGTTTCGGGCATATCAGGAAAATAAAACAGATCAAAATTGGCGGACGTATAAGGACCGTAGAAATTTTGCACTGGCCTCGATTCGCAGAGAAAAGAAGGCATATTTAGCCCAGCTGGATATTTCGAACTCGGGAAAGCTGTGGAAAAATTTGAGAAGTATGAATATCTGTCAGCAGAAACGAATTGAGATTCCTGATAGTTTATCTGATCCAGAGGAAACTAATAATCATTTCCTCTCAAATTTTACATTCGACGATCACTCCAATAATGTAGTTAATAATACAGCCAATTTTTACTCCAACAACCGTTTTGATAATAATTTGACTCCTTTCGCTCTTCATACAGTAACACAAGAAATCGTTCTTGACATCATTTTATCGATTAAATCGACTGCCACTGGGAGTGATGGATTGAATTTAATAATGATACGACTTTGTTTGCCTGAAACACTTGACCACATAACTCACATAGTAAATATGTGTTTAGAGAAGGGCTTTTTCCCAACAAGCTGGAAAGAAGCTGTCATCACACCTATTGCTAAAATCACAAACCCAGCTGAATACCATGATCTTAGACCGATCAGCATTTTATGTTTTCTTTCTAAGATATTAGAAAAGATCGTCTATCTACAGCTTATTGAGTACCTTGAACTTAATCATATGTTTCCGATACATCAGTCTGGATTCCGCAAGAATCATAGTACTACAACTGCTTTGTTATATATAATTGATAACATAATCAGAAATTTGGATGATCGCATTGGTACAATATTGGTTATGTTTGATTTATCTAAAGCGTTTGATTCTGTGAACCACCGTATACTTTTGAGTAAGTTGAAGTACCTTGGTTTAGGTAATACTGCTCTTATGTTCTTTGACTCTTACTTGTCTAATCGAACGCAAAAGGTGAAAACCAGTAAAGGTGTATCTGTGCCCAAGTATGTTCCTTCTGGAGTTCCACAGGGCTCGATCTTGGGACCTCTACTTTATTTGGTTTTTACGTTTGACTTGCATAACAGTGTTGAGCATTGCGCAATCCAAACTTATGCAGACGATACACAGTTAACATTTAATTTCGACTCTAGCAACTTCAATGAAATTTCTTATAAACTTAATGTCGACTTAGCTAATATTGATAATTTCTGCAAACGGCACTCACTGAAAATAAACCCTAGTAAATCGAATGCTATTGTCTTTAGTCCACATAATTTTCCAGTTAGTGTTGTTGATCTAATCCAACTGTCTGTGAATCATACTGTCATACCCTTAGTTAACGAAGCAAAAAACCTGGGCGTTATTTTGGATAAAGACCTCCGTTTTAATCAGCACGTGAATGCCACCCTTAAATCCACATATATATCGTTAAAATTATTATATTCAAACCGGCACATTCTTAATTTGAAAACGCGGAAAAAACTTGTTGAGAGTCTTGTTATGTCTAAAATATTTTATTCGCTGGTTCTTTATTATCCTTGTATTGATTATAACACTAAATATAGACTGCAGAAAATCCAAAACAGTTGTTGTCGGTTCGTATATGGCCTCAGAAGGTATGATCACGTATCGTCTAAGATAAAAGAGCTAAAATGGCTAAAACTTGATAAACACTATACTTTCTCTTTGGGTGTATTTGTCCATAAATTGATTTCCACAAGGTCACCCATTTATCTTATGGACAAACTTGTACCTCGTGGTCAAGTCATTTCTAGAGCCCTACGACATAACCATCTCTTCGGTATGCCATTCCAGAGAACATGTATATTCCGAAGATGTTTTACGTACAATGCTATCAGGACTTACAACTCTGTCAACCAGGTACTCAAGTCCAAAAGCTTACCTGTTTTTAAAATTAAATACAAATCCGCTCTTTTGGAATTGCCTTTTTAAAAATCCCTGATGATTAGCCGACTGATTTTGTAGCTTTTGTAAATTTTCCATGCTTTATACATTCTGTAATTGTTCATTGTTTTCTTTTTATTCTTCTGTACTGTACTATTGTCCTTATTATTATCATTATTTTTTCACTTCGTTTTTGAGGTTAAGTGGTAGAGTAGCCATGTGGCTAAACTTCGCCTCAATTCGAAGGTTTCAATAAAGACATTTATTATTATTATTATTATTATTATATTCAAAATTAGCGTCTTAAATTACCTTACCGGATAAAGTAAGAGTTAAGGAGTCCTATTAATAAAATATATGAAAGTTGAATAGAATTTTTTTATTTAGCAGTTAAAAAAATTAACTATAATAAAAAAAAATCCCGATTGGGACTTTAATCTTCATCTCATGTTACATTTTGACAACAGGATGGAAAAAGAGCGAAACACGCTTTTATTTCAAAACTCAAGATGGAGGAACTTCATTATCGTTTGACAACGAAAACGTAGGAAGTATAGAGTCAGTCTACTTGACGACTTTTTTGTCGGTCCATATTTGAATTGAACTGGAGACGCAAACAGATTGTTTTTCATTGGGAAACTGTTTTTTGGCACACTATTGAGGAAATTCGTGGCGCTTTTCGAGATTGGCGGGAAGATCCAGATAGGGCTCTTAGCATTTTAGCTCATTTGATGGCCACATTCAAAATTAGCGTATACAGGAGTGTATTTAGATGCAGGGTCGCCCAACACGATTAGTTTTTTCTCTTATTACTTGTCAATAAAATTTCGTAAGAATGTTATCATTGCCAGAAAATCAAATTGAAGAAATTATTTTTCTAATGTCTCAGTATATTTTCAATTTGATAAACTAATTTTTTAGTTCATTTTTTGAACCTTGTTTTTTATGTATTTTTTATTTTATTACTACACTGTGAAAAACGTTTCGACGTACAAAAAACTAGCATTCATGTAAATAATACTTTTTTGCAGAAAACCTGAGGCCTACCTCCGACCGCGGCGCAATTTACCTGAACGACGACGTCGGTCGTCATTTCTCGCATTTCTTCGAAACGCACTACGTTCCGAACGCAGAAAAAGAAAAAGAGTACCCGGCTGACAGGAAAGTTCGACACTTGTACCACCAACGCAAGAAGCTAGAAAGCTATCAACTGTAAGCGTGTGCGACTGGTCGCATGCGACTTGTTGCGGTGCAACGATCTGTTATCCCCCCTTGATCTAAATGGTGTAAGGTTGGTGTTTATCCTGTTTCAGAATGTCTTTGGCTGCCAAGTTATTCGATGATAGTATAAAGCGAGACTGCCCGAACTGGTTACAGTGGTTGCGTTTATCAGAACATAGCGCGTCTGCTGAAATACCGGATAAAGTAGTCGCTGGGTGCACGATGATAGCGCTACCTAGAGGATGTCGCAGATATATTTGTTCCTGACTTGAATGAAAATGACAGACATTTAGTTGATTTGACAATTCTCTTTTGATCTGACAAATGTGGTGTGAAAGTTTTGCTCCTTTGCCAGGCTTCAGGCAATTAACTAGGAGGTTCAGCAACAGGTGGACAAAGCAGCGTTCACAGGTGAATTCGATAGCGATCGTGCTAGTTACGCTATAAGCACAGATTGATCAGGATATCTAGAATTTCAGAAAAAAATGTATAGGTCATTTTACAACACAAATATATTCTTGAGGTAAATGAAAAGGAACTTATTGAGAGATACAAACAAATTTGCTGGTTAACGTTTGTGCAAAACTTAATAAAATCCATTGAATGAATCCGAATTTTTTGTTTTGTTTTTTATAATGTAGGAACATGTCTAAGGTTTTGTCCTAGACAGTCTTGAAATCCAAATCCGATAGGTCACGTCCCCTAATCTTACGCTGAGTAAACTGATTTCTGGCGTTTGTCATGAATCTTACAGGCTTTATGTTGGGAATGTCTTCGTGGATGTTGGTTTTCAAATCACATAAACAAGGGGTTTCAAAAAACTCCATAGAAAACAATTACAAGCGGCCAAATCGGGAGAGCTGGCTGGCCACTCTAAATCGCCCCTAATTTCATTTCATTGCTTTATTGGTGCTTAATACACGTGCTTACACAGTTCGAAATAAAATTTAAAATGCAAAAGTGTAAATTGACAAAGCAATAACATTTGTCCGAAAGAACAACATTAACAGAAAAACTGTAAAAAGATATGAATTTAAAATAAATACAAAACTATAGAACAAGCACATCCGAACAAATTAACAAACAGAGTAAAGCTGAACAAACACACTACATCGCCATTAGAAGAGATCCGATAATTCAGATGAGACGGTCTGGGAGGTGTTCTCTTAAAATAGACATGGATGCTCCTGAAGTGCGTGCCGTTGCACGATCTTTTTGGAACGAAATGTTCTCTAAGTGCCAATCTATCTAGCTGACGAAAAAAATTACTGCAACACCGGTCCGAATTCACTGTCACTGAGACTTCATTTTTCTCAACGAACCAGGGACGCATAATTCCAGCTGAGGTAATTGCACACCACACTGACTTTAGGTGAATGCAAAGCACTTTGATGCAATTCTTGAGGATTGGTGTCAGCCCAAGTACCGCATCTTTTGTATGTTGACAAAAAATAGCATCCTTAATAACGACTTCTTGTGAAAATTTATAAATGTCACTAACTTTTTTTGAGCAGCCTAGCAACATAACCCTCTAGAGCAAATTGGGTATATGATGTCTCATTTTAATGACCTTTTCATACTCTATAACTCGTCACAGTCTTAGATCAATACTTCATAGTTTTTTTGAATATTTGTGAGAAATGGTTTTCCAACTTTGACGATTAATAAAGATGGCCAACAAAATTTTTGTATCTCAAGGCTGAAGATTCTTTCGCTCACATTTTTTTATAACAGGGTCCATACTTGGCAAGTTAGTCTGATCTACAGGTATGTTGGTGAATACTTGAAAACGTGTAGAATAACTTGTAGAAAGTATTGTAACACCTTCCTGACAGCTTGTGATGTGTTTTGACGTTCATAAAATGAGTTTGTGAATGCATGTACTTGCGACATATGTTCCTAGATTCTTCGTATCATTGAACGTTCCATCTCAAACTCACATTCGTCTTTAGAGATGAGACACAAAGGTGGCAGCGATATTTTCGCATTTTTCCTCCCTGAGTATTATTCGGATAGCAAGACTGTTATCAGTGTGTTTTCTACTGTTCCATGTCAGCTCTCTTTTTTGAGGTTATGTTACAAATATCTATTTGCATCAAATTTTTCGTGCTTTTGATCTGTTATATAGCCTGAAATTTCCAAATATTCAAAAAGAAAACATAGCCTCACAATAGGAAAGCGCTGACGCTGACACGAAACAATAGAAGTCTAGAAATATCCTAGCCTTTCTGAAGGATAGAAAAGACTATGAAAATTAAGGCATAAAGACATAAAGGCATCCTACAATTTATTGTATGAACGACTGACGATACGGCCCTTAGACTTTTGAGTATCACGCGCGTTGTGTTGTGATTACATCTTCTCGGTCTTGGCATTGAGGTCAATTTCAGTCGTCACTGGAGACTGACACTATGTTCTGATGAACGCGTCCAAAGTGACGTTACGTAACTATTTCCTGATCTACTTTAAATGGTGTTTGGTTTCTTTCTTTTTGTAATGTTACATTACAATGAGTGTCTAATGCGATTCGCACAGTACAATTGCCGCTTTTAGCGCTGGTGTCGCGCTTTGATGTGGGGGAAATAGCAACTGACCAACTGATGAATGTGACTATAGTCAACGCCAAACAAAGTGGCGTGCACGTCATCAAGGTGGGTGTGTTGAAAAATTTACATTGTTGCCAAACTTTTTGTAAAATAATAAAATTTATTATTTACATATCTAGGTTTATAAGCAATATTAACCTCAAATGAGAACAAAAATAATAGTATAATAAAATTATAGATCTGTACTTGCATAATCATTAAGTATGACAATTATTGATCAGATGACACTATGAAACTACCATATTTAATTGATAGCTTAAAGGTACTGAATAAAAATCCAAATGGGGTCCTCCAAATTTTATGCATGGTATTTATTTTACAGAATTCATACAGAAAAATGCATTCTAAAATTAGGTAAGCTACTGGTGTAAGCTTTTTCTGTACAATAAAGTTAGTCGGAGTTTCTTTCTTCAGCGCTGTCTGAATCTGAATCTTCATCACTCTCAAAGTTGATTATTAAAGGTTCGATGTCTGGTCGATCAAAAATTCGTTCTCTTTCATACCATTTAAAAATGTCTTGCTCAGTATGTCGAATACTATTTTTCCACATGTCTGGGGTAACCGTTTGTAGAGCCTCGTTCCACATATCCAAACAGTCTTTTTCACTGTTACCATCTCTACCAATATGTCTGTTATAGTAACCTTTTGCTATGCCCCAAATTAACTCAATAGGGTTAAATATACAATGGTAAGGAGGCAGACGAAGAACTTTGTGCCCATGTTGTTCCGCCAATTCATCAATCACGTAAATTTTAGGTGGTTTGTTTCTAAAAAAGCAGTTATTTTAAGAATAGGAATAAACAAAAGAAATATAAACTGTCGACCAAAATATATATAATTAAGAAGCATTATGTACCGAGCAACAATACTCAATAGCTCTGTTTTAAACATTGTGTTTAAAAATGGTATGTTTTGATTTGTCAACCAGTCTTGGATATTTTTTTTTGTCCATGCATTGTTGGGCACTTTGTTCAATATCATGCTGTGATAAGGGGCGTTATCCAGTATAATCATAGATGGACTCTCCAATTTTTCTAATAACTGATGTTGAAACCATTTCAAAAAATTGTCCTGGTTCATCTCTCCATGGTAATCGCTCAATTTTGTTTTCGAAGAAAATATCGCTTCACTACCCTCAATAAACCTATTTTCATTTCCAGCATGTAATATAATGTATCTAAAATATATTAGTTTTAAATTTTATAGTGCAAATTGTGTAAAAGTACATACCTTTTACCATCTGTTTTAATAGCTTTCACGCTTTTTTGGTTTCCATTTTGCCAGACCTATGGTCCCATTTTGAAATATCCAAGTTTCATCGAGGAAGACAAACTGGTATAAGGCCTCAACCTTGGCTTGATTGTATTGCCTTAGAAATTCCACCCTTTTCAAAGCTATACTTGGTAGTTCCATGAGCCCTCGTCGCGGATTGTCCTTAAGCCACTTAAATCCAAGATCTCTAAGCAACCGCCTTAAAGACGTGGCACTACTATCAAATAATGCCCTATCTCTTAATCGAGACCATAAAGTTTGTATCGTAACTTGTTCTTCTGAAACCATGTGTAATATAACATTATAATTTAGTTAACAAATTAATGCAAATTTCTGATAAGTTATTATAATAAGATCTTACTTTTGTGATACATATTATAGATCACTTCTCGAATGGCACTTGTATCCAATGTCGCTGTGTTGGTTACACGTTTAATATAACTCCGCTTTTTCTTGGGCGATTCTAAATTTGCATCACTTTTCACACCCTCGGAAATACGACTAACTGTCCTTAAACTAATTTTTAAAGCAGCAGCAACACGCTACAAAAAATGAAATGAAATTTCACTATTATTAATATACATTACATATAATTATTAGTAACCTACCTCTTGAACAGCATTTAAAGGCAACAAAGGCCCGTTGTTGTCCCCTTCTTGCTCAAAGTAGTGCATTAACGAGGCCACGAGTTCCTTACACCGACTATTTAACTGTTTGGGCATCTTTATATACCAAAATTGCCTTTATCTACTCGTAAAATGAATAATTTTGTTTTGAAACAAACAGTTGTTGATTTACAGTATGCGGGGCCAAAGGATTTATAAAGATTTGAAATGCCACAAATTGATTCAGTGTCAAAATTAATACAAATGTCAGTTCCCAGTTTAAATAAGTTTCAAGGTGACAATGTGTCAACGCTGCGAAATCGGTTTAGTGCGTTTACATGTCGATAAGTGATTGGAGCGTTTGCAAAACATTTTATTTCGCATAATGCGTCTAAATTTATCAGAAAGCAACTTATGTGATATTTTAATAACAATGTTTATATGACTATTAACCATAATAAGAGAGTAATGACCATTTTACAATTTATATATCACATTAATATGAAACTGCAATAGAGCAATTGTTTGTGATAGAAACCTAGGCATTAGGTCGGGGAATTTTTATCGTGATGACGTGCACGCCACTTTGTTTGGCGTTGACTATAAGGTTATGCGACATAGCAGAATAAAAAATATTCTAACGCAGGTTATCAAATCTGCACAATTTTGGTAGGTTTATTTGTCCTCTAGAGGGAATTTGGAACCAACTGTGACGTCTAGAACGAATGGGTCATTCTATTTGTTTGTTATAGATTGATTCAACATTAATGCTATAGTATCAATGTTACACAGTATATCTCATAATATTTTATGCCTTCAAGTCTATATGTATTTATACAAAATTTCACTACTATGAATTTTTACGTTCTCTGGTAGAATAACTATGGTACTCATTGTTCAATTTACAATTTTCTAAATTGTTTGGTAAAAGATGATTTTTTAACTTAAAGATGAAAATAAAAACCAAATAGTTTAATTACATTTAAATAATTCGATTAACTCTTTCCATCATTGGGATTTTTCACTTTGCTTCAAAATTTTCCAACTAGTAGGAGGGAGAGAAAATTATTACTTTTATTTGGGCGTATTATACTTTTACTGGTCTGTCGATTGTATTTTTCTCCATACTGAAGAACGATATTAGCGGTCCAGTGGCCAATGTAAAGGGCGAATTTGAGATTTTAGTTGTTGGTGTTTGCCTGTTATTCGACGTTCAAGCATTTCTGCAACACTTGTCATTTGAAGTTGCTCTTAATTTTTAATTATTTATCCAACTGATGGTTTGGAACAGCTACTGATGTCATCTTTTTAATATGATTATGGTAACGATGGGTGATATTACAACTTAGTTAGATGCACCTATGATTATTTATTTTGTAAAATTGATATTTATTTTAGCACATTGTATACTTGTTTTGTGACTAAGGTAGATAGGGTTTGACTTTTTACTCAAATAGACTAGCTAAGTTATTCGTAAATAACATTGTAGTCTAATCATGTTAGCAAATTTCCCCGAAATAATTGTAAATTCTGGTTTCATCGATGCAAGTTGTTCAATGCGTTATTTAAAACATGGACGCATAAAATGGGTACACCAATTTTTGTGGGACAACTTTTATCCGACCACAAAGAATGAGAAAACTACTTGAAATTCTTCAAATCCGTATTATTCATACTTCTAAATCACCACATCAAAATTCTAGTAGATTATTCAGGTACTTTTTGAGAACTTCTAATTCTTTTTTTCCGGCAATCACTACTAGTTTATTGAGCAATATACAGGGTACGTTCAAAGGGAATTTAATAGCAAAATAAACGAGTTTACTTTGCCGATATGAATCGCAAACCATTCCGAAAGATAAATATTATTTTTATGCGAAAAACAAAGGGTTACGTTTTTTCTTCTAAACATTTCGTATTCGTAAATGAACAAATGCGTAACGATATTTGAAAAACATACGTTATTATACACATTTTAAGACAAAGCGGATCTGTCTATCACCTTTTGTTATAATTACTCACAAATACGAAATGTTTGATTTGTTTAGAAGAAAAAAACGTAACCCTTTGTTTTTCGAAAAAATAACATTTATCTTTCGGAATAGTTTGTGATTCATATAGGCAAGGTACACTGTATATTTTGCTATTAAATGCCCTTTGAGCCAACCCATTATTTCTCATTAAACTAGTAGTGATTGCCGGAAAACAGGTGTTTTGGGATGAACAATTAAACATTCTCAAAAACTACTTGACCAATCTATTCCAATTTTATTGTGGTTATTAAAAAGTATGAATCCTACGAATTTGAAGAATTTCAAGAATCTGCGTGAAACTATCGTCGCATTACCAACAAGTGCCAATACCTGCATTTTGAACACCTTGCAGCAATAAAACCAGACTTTACAATTATTTCGCAAACCAGTGGTATTTTCGTCTAATATTATTAGACTATTGTTAACTGTTGGGTACACAATGCGAAAAATTCCGATTTTAAAACATTCGACACTAACGCAATGTTGCCGCCTGATGCATGGGAGATAAGATTTCAATGTAAACTTTTCGAATCTACAGGGTCCGCCAAAGGAACCTGATGAGTTACAATATGAAACTACAAATGTATCGTTCAAGATATTTATTTTCATATATAAGTAATCGAAAGTGTATTACATGCCATTTTATGTATGGAAAATAACTTCGGTCAAATGATATCCTTCACTGCGGACACACTCTTCCAAACGGTTTCGCACATTCCCCATTACGCGCTGTACCATACTCATCGGAATCGCGCTAATTTCATTGCGAATGTTTTCCTTCAATTCTTCAATGGTCCTTGGGCTCGTTAAATATACCTTGCTTTTGAGATAACCCCATAACCAATAGTCACAAGCCGTGAGATCGGGAGACCTTGCCGGCCAAGGAACATCTCCATTCCGCGAAATGACTCTTCCTGGAAACATTTCTCGCAGTCGAACCATTGTTGCTCGTGCTGTATGCGCTGTGGCGCCATCTTGCTGAAACCATACAGTATTTAAATCTATGTTCCGTCGACGAAACTCTGGTTCCAAAAATGTGTTTAAAATTTCCAGATAACGTTGCGAATTGACCGTGACAGAATTTCCCGCATCGTCCTCAAAAAAATAGGGTCCAATTATGCCGAATCGCGACACTCCGCACCAAACAGTAACCTTGCGACTATGAAGGGGTCGCTGGTGAAGTTCACTCGGGTTTTCTGCACACCAGTAGCGAAAATTCTGCTTATTTACGTAGCCTGATAACTCGAAATGCGCCTCATCAGACATAATTAAGCCACCTAAAGCGTTTTCATCCAAAAGTTCCAGAAGCTGGTTGCTTGCAGTCAAACGGTTCACAAAGTCTTCAGCTATCAGTTCTTGAACCATCGCTAATTTGTAAGGGTGATAATGTAAATCCTTATGCAAAATACGCCGCACTGTTGTTTCTGAAAGCCTTAGACTAATTGCTTGTAGCCTTGCTGCACCGCTGTTCGCACCCTCTCAATATTGGCTGGAGTCCGAACTGTTCGAAGCATTCCTGGTGGCTTAGCTTTCATTGCTGATGCAGATCGACGAACATTTTTTACCCACAACTTAATTGTGTTACGGCATGGAACAGAACCATGACGTCCGACATTGAAATGTGTACGAAAGTGTCGTGATTTTTAAAATACGTCTCGACAACAAATGTCTTGCCCACTGTAACCGATGTTCTACGTCAAAAAACAGCTTCGTACTATCCATTCTGAAAACGTCAGGTTCCTTTGGCGGCCCCTGTATTTGGATAAGTCGTTAATGGTTCGTATGTTGGAAAATTTCGTAAACTTTCTTATAGAAAGAAGTACTGATGTTTTATTTTATGTAACGTTTCAAGATTGTTAGACCGTTTAGTCTCCAGGATCATCTGTCACATATCCAGCTGATCATGCAGAATCTTTAAGGAAAATAAATGAGGAACAACAATAACTTTACTGTGTTATATTTTTTTGTACTACACAAAAATATAGATGGATTTGGTAAACTTTTAAAAGCCAAGACAAACATTTGTGTTTAGAAAATACAATTTACAAAAATAATGTATCATATAAAAATTCAACAATGTTATGCTATAAATTCATCCGTTTATGTGCAATGATTACCCGTTTGTGTCAATACATGTACTATAGTTTCCTGTCACAGTGTATGGTTGTGCTTATCGTGGGCAAAAAAGAAGTGAGCAGCCATTTGGATACAAAATGCCAAATTTCCGTACATTTACAAATTTACAGGTTCCTAATTCGTAAACGCTCATATACAGTGACAGTGCTTTTCAAAAGGTCCTCCCTCCACTTATTTTGAATGGGCCAAGTCAAGTTGAACGCTGTGATGAAATTGATGCGTCAATACTATACTCGTACTTTAACTTAGACGCGGCAGTTGCAAATTCATCCTGATGTCATTCGTAGGGCTACAAATATAGTCCATGAAGTGAGAAACGCACTGCACGAGCAACTTTCTGGCGGAAATGCTTGATTCAAGTATTCCTCTCTGGAGGGTCGCAAAGTCACTCAGAAACGGAAAGCGAGAATTCCCACATACCTATGGTCTTCAAAACGGAGAATAAGATCGAGGTTTTCGCTGATGCCATGGAAAAAGTTCTCTTTTTCTCTTTTTTTTATACTCCAACTACTACGAAGGCCTAAGGCCTAAACACCCACTGGGTACCGTGGGGCTATAGGGGGATACAGGGGAAAGGGAGAACGCCACACGGATTCTGGCGAGGGAACACGTGTGCATGCAACATGCACACATTCTGGCTCCGCCTACGAGATCCGCCGGGTGGTACCTTCACGTTCGACAGTCAGAGACCGTCTACCACCTACGGACAATCACAACATCCATAGCCAAGAGAAAAATTTCTCCTGGGACGGGACTCGAACCCGCACAGTGCACGGCGACTGATCAGGAGACCGAAGAGTCTACTACTGCGGCCACCGCTGCTGCCTCTCCCAACTATGATTTTGATAATGACCTCGACGAGGAACAACACATCGTACGATCCGTCAGGAGATATTTTAGGGCCAACGGTGTTAGCGGAGGCACCGAATCCTCTTCATATGACTCTTCTTTAGACGATTCGTCTGAGGCTCCACATAGCACATTAGCGGAACCCTCCGAGGTTCCACATTGCACACCATCGGAGCTCCTAAGTCACATTAAAGACCTCAAGGTGCGTAAAGCACCTGGGAGGATTAAATCATCAACAAGACGTTGATGCTGCTCTCGCATATTTGGTGACAATAATCAATGCGATGCTCAGAATCCAGTACTTCCCTGCTGGGTGGAACACTACTGAGGTCATCATGATTCCAACGAAAGTGGGTTCGATATTTCTTCAGGATTAGTCTGCTGTTAGCTCTTACAAAGCTCGCCGAAAAGGTGATTTATCGCAACCTTGACATTTTTTCGTCAAATCACCACGTGATTCCTGACGTTCAATTCGGTTTTCGGTCCGACCATAGCGCCGAGCTACAGGCAGTCAGGCTGGTGGAACATATGTAACCAGAGGGTTCACCCTCAGCATGAGTATTGGAATCTTGCTTTTGGATGTCTCAAAACCCTTTGACAAGGTGTGGCACGCGGGTCTCCTCTAGGGTTTTCCTTTTTGGCTTCTAAAATTACTGTAATCCTTTCTTGAAGGACGAAAGTTTCTGATCAAAATTAACAATGTTTTGTCAATAACACGGCCAGTTTAGCCCGGTGTTCCTCAGGGCTCGGTCCTAGGGCCAATCCTTTATTCGCCTTTTATCCATGATGTCCGTAACTGTGAAGTCTATCTGGTTCACGATGGGTACACTGAGTAGCTATTACCCGCCCTTGCTTGCACGCGCACTGCACTGTATTGGGGAACGAATAGTTTAATTTACGCGTTGATCTGAAAAATTTGTGAGTATTGTTGATATTTTTTTGTTACGTTTGTCTTTTTAAAGAGCCTTGGCATAACCTACAACTAACGATGGATTTATTAGAATATGTGAATTGTTCGGGGATATGGGCGTATTAGAACGATTCCTGAATTAAATGATTTTCGAAGTTCTTAAACCTTTGCTCAAAATTGATTGCTCTTGCTCCATGAGCATTGTCCATTTCTACCCATGATAACCACAATTGTACTGTTACTTATTTTTCTTGTGTCGGTTCTTCTCAATGAAAAATGCGGCGGAGTTGTTAGAGTTTGCTTTGTAATTTCATGAATGGTGTAGTGTCCACTATCTGCTGCCACCATGAGGGCCTTGACATGGCCCCAGGGCCGTGCATTATGGCCGTCTGAAGGTTCTCGTACAGCTGCAAGAAAATAAATGGTTTTTAATGTGCAATTCTTGTTTTTATTACAATTACGGCATGCTACCACAAATAATATAGACCTCGAGGATCACAGGAACACCACCATGGCAGTGTTACCATTTACATTTTGATTATACTCCCTATGATATCTGAGTTGTATATAATAAACATAATTCTGCTTAGTGCAGTAGTTGCACACTTTCATCATTCAGCAACGGATATACTGTACAGTTAATGTAACATATAACTTATAATGGGGTTTCTTGCTGATGTTTTTTAAACCTCCTTAAATCCATGAGCAACGCAGACGCAGTATTAGTAGTTAAAGTTCGCATAACAGGCGAACAAAAATATCCACTACAAAGCAAGCCGTTTAATAATGGATGCAAAAGAAGAGGTGAAACACAAAAAATACTATAATTTTCCGCTATTCTGTCATTTATTGTTTTGAAATAAAAGTTATAAACTTGTAGGCGCATTGCTAATTTTATCACTTAAACAGAAGTGCCAAATACTTAAAAAGTATTTTCTGCAAATGAAGCTGGTAACTTTTAATATCAGGAATGTTTCTTATTAATGTTATCTTATTTTTCAATAGCTAACAAATGGACTGAATATTTTGTTTCAGCACAAACGATGCATCAATGGCCACATTATAATATTTATCGTTGCTGTAATAACAAAAATGTCAAGGCCAACATATCAATTATGCCTACTTTTACTGCACAATTATCCGTGCAGCCTAAACGGAATATCAAAATATCGTCATTTCTTTGTCTAATCGCCCTGGACTAATAACCGGAAGATAATTCTCGGAATCCCCGAAGCCGCAGCGCTGCCTGTGCGGTGTTTTTGATAATAATAATGCTAATCGCAGTTGGCTATGGCTAAGGTTGTTTTCCGGTGAAATGTCAATGTCATTGTCAATAATCCCGCGCTTCGCGTCTACGGTCTACCGGTATCGAAGTTTTTGGTGCTTTTTAGAAGAATTTTGATAGATTAATCTTTATAATTATCATAACCGGGTAGTGCGAGTGATCGAAATGGCAGCGAAAACAACTTGTTACGGTTCGGAACAATAAAAATTTTCTGTGATGGTGAAGTACGGTGGCTAGAAAAACCCGCTTGGCTGTTGGTGGTAAGTAGTAGAGTATAATACAGATATGAAATAAAATGAGCTTTTCCGATTATAGGTGCATGTTGCCAGATAATTCAGCCTTTGGTAAGTCATTTTTAAACATTTACGCATGTTATTGGTGTATAGTGCATTATTGTTCAGTAAATTTCATCGCTTATGACAATGGGCGCATCTGAACTTCTAAATCGATGCAGCATCTTCACATAAAATATGCATTGGTACAGCAAACAGCTGGATATAGTGTTGTCAGGGGTAATGTAATTATGTATTTATGATCCTATAATGTAAAATCGCTGTTATTCAAAATGAGGAAATGAGAATCATAGGAAATAAACATTTATCGTTTTAAGACCAGGCTGTCTAGATAGCTCGCAACCCTGTCAAGTATACCCTATTTCACGAGTATCCATCACGCTTTGACGTCTACTGAGGTGAACTGCTGATCAGCAAGTGACATTTTTGTGTTAGTCTGCAACGTTGGCAATAATGGATCGGGTATAAATGTAGTAAAACTTGTTAGTGGCATTTTGTTTTTTATATGCAAATGAACTTTTCTAAATAAAAGTACAAAATCTGTAGTATACAAAAAAACAAAAAAAATTCGGCTCTGTCTATCTGTCGTTGACGGATCCGTCAGAATTATGTGTCCTGTGCCGATATGGGGAATTTTGAGATATTAATAGATAATCAGCTGTCATTCTACCGTGATATAGGGTATAGACCGACAATTGGTCAAATAAGCAATTTGAGGGATGAAAACTTTCAAGCTGACATATTTCTTTTATTACCAAACTAATTCGTGTAGAATTCCGAGTATGGACTCAATAACGGTTCAGTTCCACACAAAACACAAGAAATGGGTTGCCTGCAGATTGTTTGAATAACCCGTCATTGAGGAATTCCCAAAGATGTCAAGAAGCATTAGATTTGTATCAGGAAAGCATGTCTCTGACATTTCCAAAGTTCCCCTCCATACGGCACGTGACCCTATTTTGTTGAGGTGCATATTCTCCAATTGGGGTCACAAAAAGTCCTTATTTGAGGATGTCCATCATAATTTTCATGAGAAAGAACTTTCCCAGCATATTTACACAATCTGATACCTTTAGAAAGCCTTGTAAGAAAATACTGGAGTCATAGGACGACTTTTTAGATTTTAGATGATTTTTAATTGTACTCACCTTTCCGTCAGACTTTCCCAGTACAGAATGGACCACATAGTCTGGTGGTGCAAGGCTATCAATTACTGCTATACTATCAGGTTTTAGTTGATCACACAGTTGTAGTATACTTTCCCTAATGTTCACAGCCATATTTGGATCGTTTGTGTATCCTCCTTGGTAGAAGTATGTAAGGTGTTTATCTAAACAACTTAATCCATATAATAAACCTAAAAATGAGATTTTGATTGGAAAAAGCCTTAAGATTTTCATAAAAATCTATTGACGTGGTTACTACATTGAATTGTATCATAAAGAATCTAATATGATTCTAGTCTAGTAGCCATAGAGACAACTTTCATGTAGGTTTAAACCTGCCAGGAGAACTTATTCATGTTGCTCTTTGATAATTACCTAATTTTTCTACAACATTTTTTAGATCACTTGGTACAGTCACAAATTTCATCCAGTAATACCTGAGCGCAGTATATTCTGCAAATGCTCTAGATAATATTGATGCCCTATAAACTTGCGTATTATTCCTTGCTGTAAACTTATCGGCTCCTGACTTCAAAATATTTTGTAGTTTTCTGTCCGTTTCTTGGATTAAATATAGGATTAACCACTCATAGCAGGACATTATAACTGAAAAAGAAATAGTGTCAGATTAGGCTCGTCAGTTTTAAAATAAACTGTGACTGCTGCAAGAACTGAAAAATACGTGGGCGTCGAGGGAGTTTTGTTATGGAGCCTATATTTCAGAAGAAACTACGCTGTTCCTGCTGTAAACAGGACCCCGAAGTGGTGCTTTGGCAGGGTTGCCATGTTGGGGGTTTATCCCCCAAATTGGGGGGATTTTTACTAGGAAATTTTTTTGGGGATCTAACGTTTTGGGAGAAATGACACGTTTTGCGAATAGAAATCATCTCCCGCTGTTTTAATCAAACCTTTCCCTTTCCATTAATTAACTGCGATTTCGGGTAGCAATTCTGAGAGATTTTTGTGCTTGTTCTAAGGGAATTCTGTCAGACCCATCGCTGCGGTTTGACAGTTCCGCCATATGATACTTTCTTAATAGTCTTGAATATGTTTTTTATAAGACTTGATTTTTATGAGTAATAAATTAAAATAGAACCGATCAAGTTTTGGGGTCGTTTTTCGCTCATTTCGCTGGCGATCGTGGTATAAAGGCTCCATGGAATTTTGTAATAGGATAGTAGAACAGAAAAACGGGAATATCACGTGTGCGCGTGTCCAAAAATTTTTGAGAAATCTGTCGACTTGGACTATTATAATGATGGACAAAAATTTGTTTGTACTTACAATCTACAGTCTGTAGGTCGGATACGCTTCTAGCACAGTACTTCCTAATACTGATGTCCTTATGATGAACAAAAAAAGTACAACTACCTAGAGGGGAAGACAATTTTTCCCCGGAATTTATTGCATACCATTGCCTCAGCAACCTGTGAGAAAATAAAATTTTTGGTGTTAACTGAGTAAACAATGATTTCAAAACCTTCTATCAATTGATTGTAATGATTTAGAAACTCTCATCAAGATAGCTATTTTTAATAGCATCACTTTAGTAGGAGTGACCTTAACCAAAACAGTTCATTGTTAAAGAAAAGTAGTTATATCAAGAGAACACAGTTGGACAATGCGAATGAATTAGAGGAAAATAAGGGATGTAACCCAAAACATGGACCCCACAAAAAGCAGCTGACTTTTTATTTGATCAGAGATAAATGCGGTGTGGCCTGTTAGATGAATTCATTGTTCATCACTTGTCGTGAAAGCATTTTTACTTCAAATTTACTGTTATGAGAATTTTATTCATGAGGGGATATTAGTCATCAGATTGCAGCCTATGAAGTATATTTTTCACTCAATAAAGTTATGAATTAGACTTTTCGCGAGTGCTCTACGATGCAAACAGAGGCATCCTCAAAACCTGTAAGTTATCACATAGCTATTTAACTTTTAGAGCCCCACGGGAAATACTACAAGATTCAGATCAGTAACAAAGAGGAACATCAGCGAAACATTCGAATTTTTTCTAACCTCAAATTGTTTATTTGACAAATCGTCGGTGTATTTGACGTGGTTGCCAGTTATTTAAACATCCTGGCCTCAAGATGATATGTTTATTTATTTTGACTTTTTGACCACCAAAAACAGTGGAAAGAACTGAACTACATCCAGCTGAGTATAAATGTAGCGTTATCTAAACATTTTATGTCAGTTTGGCAACACCGCCTCGGTAAACGTAGAGTGAAACGCACGGATCCTTGGCAGAACGTAAAGCTGTCTATGAGCGAAACGCCAAATCAAGGTCGGTCCGCTGATAGATCGCTCTTTTTCGTGTAAACCAGTAATAGTCCAAGAGCCGACCGCAAAGTTTTGGTTACATCGCGTATTGATATATGTTAAAAACTAGTCAAATCCAACGAATTTAATTCGGCAAGTTTGCTGGCCAGCATCAAAATACGTAAGATATGGATGTTTTTTATCGTATCATATCAGTTCGCGATGATGTAACAAAAAAGTGCGGTCGGCTTCGCTGCTATAATGCAGAAGAAACCCAAGTGTCTTCTCTTGATATATTCTTTGAAAGGTTGGCGGCACCACTTGAGAAATGCAAACGTTGAAGGTTTTTTCCGCCAGTGTTTTAATTCTTTTGCGAATACTCGCCAGTTGCTGGTCTGTTGGACAAGGACGTTGTTATCACCCTCGTACGTTACACAAGGGTCATTGACAGCCCTAAGTTCCCCTAGACGAGCACATTTTAGAAATCCATGACCACCACATGCTTCTCTACATTCCTGCCCCGCATCCCGACACGTCCAAGTCAGAAGTGGCTTGGCACTGCAGACCATGGCATGGATTTCCGACACCATCTCATTCTGAAAGAAGCAAAGTTGGAAATAATTATGAAACGTTTTTACATATAGAAGTCTGTCAAATATAGTCCACATGCTTGCATTTTCATGTTCAATCACAACAGTTTATTTTGCTTTCTGTGAACAAATGTAAAGCAGTCTATGGATCGGGTACCCGTAACGTAAAAAGTAAAAATTGGTGACAAAGGCTTTCAGAATACACAAAAGGTATCACACGTCAGTTGGCGTCGATGCGTGTATTTTATTATTTTCATTTATACATAATTGTGCAACAAACTAATCCAATTATAATGCAATATAATGGTAGCTTAACTATACTATAACTATCTAAAACTGTAATGACTCATCGATGTTCACGTGAACGTCACTTAACTACCAGTAGTCGGCTGTTCATAGGCGGGGTATGAATGTTTAACATGGGTGAACTAGATTTGTCACATGCTTAATAAAGAGTGGTTTGAAACATATTGTAAGTCAAAAATTTGGGAATTACCTTTATTCATCGTCGCTTCCACTTACATCTGACAGTAATAAACTGTCGCTATCGCTTTCCTCGTTGAAATTGACTATAACTGGCTCTATGATGGTGTCGATGTGGTGGTCAAGCTGCCACATTTTTGTTTCTTCCTTCACAACATGACGGATAGCATTCTGCCAAGCTTCGGGCGTTACTAGCTGTATGGACGTCTCAAGTAAAACCTTAACGTCTGGTAATTTGAAGGTTGTGTTATGGCGCGCAATATAACCCTTCACTTGAGCCCAGATGAGCTCTATTGGGTTCAGTTCACAGTGGTAGGGCGCTAACCGCAGCACAGTGACACCACCTTGACGGGCCATCTCATCAGTCACGTAACTAATGTTCGCAGGTTTGTGCTGTTTAATTTTTTCACACAATTCCGCTTTCACACATGAATCGTCAAACGGGATTCCTTTTTGGCGCAACCATTGCTGCATGTCACTTTTTCGAGATCCCATAGTCGGTACACGTTCGGCTCGACGACTATGGTAGGAAGCATTATCCATGACGATCATAGAGTTGGGCTCAACTCGCTGAAGCACCCCTTGAAACCAGCTCTCGAAGCAGCTGGCATTCATTTCGTCATGGTAATCACCTCCTTTCTTAGAGACGAAAATCAAGTCACACTCTTCTAAAAAGCCACTATCGCTACCAATATGAGTTACGATCAATCTTTGACCTTTACCTGACGGTCCACGAAGACCTGTTGACTAACCTTCAATGCTTGCTTGTCGGTTACTCACTACGTTTTTGTCTATCCAGGTTTTTTTAACCATGTGACCTGCATTTACCCATGTCTCGTCCAAATAATAGATTTTACTGCTTTGTCGCCTATATTCAATCATTTCGCGTAGGTATTTTCGACGCCAGGCGACAATTTCAGGTCTCTCTATCAATACTGACTTCCGATTACGCGTTTCGTAACGAAAATTAATTTCGTGCAGGGATTTCCTCATTACCTCGACGCTCACTTGGGGTATAATTTCATTTTCCTTGATCGCTGCATGTACAGCCTTGAGGGTTGGTATCTCATTCCTAAAGAAGAATGAATGTACGGTTCGCCTTAACGCCATTTTGCTGTCGTCATCCAATTTAACGGCCTTTCGTCCCTTCAAATTGAACTTTGGATCAGTAGTAGCTCCAGTTTTCTTCTTTTCATGCACCAACCTGCGAATGGTCCACTCTGGAACGCCTGTCATACTTTCACAACGCGCGAGTGCATCTCCCTGCGACATAGTTCTGTTCAGATAATTGAACACGTTGAGCACGATTTCTTTCGCGTCCCTCTTCAGTGCTTTACGAAGCCGTCTACTTGTTCCCTGGCTTTCAGTACTTCCACTCATGCCATTTGTACTCTCCATGGTTAAGTATAACCAAAACAGTAACCACAGAAACCACAACAATAACAATCACAGAACAATTCTTATAAAAACACACAATATGCGATCCCTCAACGAAACACGTTCCAATGCCGGTCGAGGTGCGTCTTTGATTTCATTGGTTCTACCGGCGGAGAACAATCAGCCATTATTTCCATCTCTGTCTGTGCTGTTGACCACCGCAAAGCCACAGAAACGACATATGTCGTACGCTATACGGCTGTACTGGAAGGAAGCCGGGATCGAGCTCTGATCACGCGTATGAGTCATTACAGTTTTAAATAGTTGTAGTATAGTAGTGTGCATACAAGAACCCTATAAAACAAACATAAAAAAATAGATATTGTAATAGTCCATGAAGTTTGACAAGATTTTACTGATACAAACAAAATTAATGTCAGAACTGCCTGCTATTGATTTATTATTATTGCCTATAGAATATAGAGGTGAATAAAATAATACGTTGGTACGGGAGGTATTGCAGTAGAAAGTTAGAGTCCAAAATTCAACCTCTGGAGAAGATCTGGTGCATCCAATCTGTCGTCCAAAAGCTTATGATGGAATACCAGGAATGGATTGTCTTATTTTTGGAGACCCTAGTTTCAAACGCCATAGCAGAACAAATTGACAGACCCCCTATCTGGATATGCGCAATAAATTTTATAAGTACTTTATTTAAGAAATTTTCTATATACATTTTCTACGATATTTATATAATATGCATATAAAGGGTTCCATATCAAAGATGCGTACTCAAGTTTAGGTCGCTCCGGCGACGTAAAACGAGTTTTTAGTGGTGCTTCGTTGGAAAAAGATTGAAAGTTACGTATTACGAAACCCAGAATCAATGTCGCTTCGGAGGTGACGCGGACAAAAAGTCAAACGTGCACGAAAATGTAACACAGATCTTTAGTCTCTGCTGTTCTCTTCAAAACCGCAAGGGCAATACTGTTCTCCGTATTAGAATATTCTGCGTCTAGTGGCGTCGTGTGTGAGGCGCGTGTCCATATGAGCTGCAAGCATTAATTATGTGTATTTTGAATGCGAGTGTGAGATACTGAGCGCGTCGTAGGTATGAAACCTTACCCCTAGTTTTCATGTGACGTGAAACGCGATTCACTGTAATGTAAGGTTATACTAATCCTTGAAATGATATATAATTCATAAAGATTAATTGACATTGTAGAAATCGACTTACCAAATTTTCCAACTCTGTCGACTCTGAAGTCGATTTTTCAATTGTATTCAAGTACGTTTCTGTGAAATTGTTGACAAATACCCTCAAAACGGCTGCAGCAGCCATGTACGGAAACAGCCTCCATTGCTGAAAAAAAAGGAATTCATTATTGTTTTATAGATTTGAACCTATGCCACCGAAAGATGACCGATCCAATTCAAATCCGTGCATACACAATAATAAGCATACGGACCGTCGCATTGTGCCGATAATTATTTATGCGTGGATCTATAAACGCGTAAAGCCCTGTTTTTAGGTGCCAGCGTTGCAACCTCTCGGACTGTGCAGCCATTGGTGTAACCCAACAAATTCGAATAGATTGGAAGTAAAGCATATATGTTTATTGATGACGCCGTTTCGGCCACCACGGTGGCCTTTTTCAAGTCCAATTGACAGTCGTACTTGACAATTGAGACAAACAAGAAAGCGTAAATTTACTATTCAAGATGAAAGATATTTCCTGAGAACTTCAAGATTCAAAATGGAACTATGAGGCCTGTAAATTATAAGTTATGAGACTCAAATATAATTACTATTTTATATTGTCTCTCCCTCAAAATACAGCAGACGCTCGATAATGTAAACTAATTTAATCCAAGTATGGTTCACATTATCGAAATGTTTACATTAGCGAACGGGATATATATAATATTTGATTTATTAAAAGAAACGTTTAATACATACTATTTATGACAAAATAAACAAATATTCTGACAACGATAAGTATTTTTAATTAGAAGAAATATAATTAACAATTTTTGTCTGCGTAAATTTGCGCTTAGCATTGCCTTCCAATGCCTGTGCCCGTAATTTACGAAGAACTAAAATATCCGTGTATGAAACTTCTTTTCTTTCAGCCCAATCTAAAGCTTACTTAAAAACTTGTATAGCTTGCTTAAAAACTTGTATAGCTTGCGCGTCAGTCACAGCAGGAGTACAAACAATGTTGGGATTCACTGTTTTCAATAAATCAACAACATCCTATGACACACTAATAACATTTTCATTATTGGATCGCAAACGTTCTCTAATTACGCTTAAGGCGACATCGCCTTCTTCATCATCTTCATTATTGGTACAAAAGAGATTGTTCCAACATTTTTGAATAGTTTGCTGGTTAAGTTCATTCCAGGCCATATGTAAATCTAAAACAGCTTCTCGTAATGTTACTTTTTTTGAAGCCTCGGATAAGTTTTCAGGATTCTTTGATAAGACAGACGAAAGTAGAAACTTCCTATAGTATAGTTTGGTGAGTCTTATTATATTCTGGTCCATCGGTTGAATTAACGGTGTTACGTTGGGCGGCATGTACATGACGAAAATTGACCCATCCCTGCTCCTCAGTTGTTGCTCGGGAGGATGACTTGGTGCATTATCCAATAGTAACAACGCTTTTATTGGAAGCTTCTGTTGTTTTAGGAAACCTTTTACCTACAAATTGAAAACACATCTTCAAATTATGAATAGAGCATTTGTGATAATTGATTGTCATACCTGAGGGACAAAGCACCTGTGGAACCATTTCAGGAATATACTGCTAGTCATCCAAGCGGTTTTTGAACAGTCATAATCAACAGGGATATTAACATTTTTAAATGAGCGCGGATTTTTTGCTTTCCCAATTACCAGTGGCTTTATTTTGTGTGAACTATTAGCATTAGTGCAGGCTAGAAACGTTATTCGTTGTTTCTCCGGCTTTCTTCCCGGGGCAGATTTTTCAAATGATGCAGCATAGGTTTTCTCTGGTAACATTTTCCAATAAAGGCCACTTTCATCTGCGTTGTAAATTTGTTCCATTCTTAAATCTAGCTCGGTAATTGTTTTCATCAATTTTTCTTTGAATGGTTGCACTAATTGTGGTTGTGCTGGATAATTTTTCACTAGATATAGACAGCAGTCGAATTCCATATCTTGTTTTAAATCGTTGTAGCCAGCCATCACTAGCTACGAAATTTTCAGTTTCTTTCAGTTTTGCATGTAACAGTCTCGCTCTCTGTTTACTTCGCCACTAACTGGGACATGATTTTCCCGTTGTTTTAAAAACCACTTATACAGGGAATTTTCCATTTTAGGTGCCTTCGCATTTTTTAAAGTTTTTCTTTTTCCCGGACCTCCAAATGTATTGCACGTTCTTTGTAAAATTTGAGTTTTCATACGCTTAATTTTACAGATTGTTGCTTTCGATACTCCATATTTTTTTGCTAACTATGTCACTCCCGCACCTAGTGCAACTTCGTCTATGATTTTCACTTTCTCACTCAACTTTAAACACTTTCTTTTATAGGATGTGGATGCCATAGTCGTAAAATATATTAACGCGTGCAATGTATTCACTTAAGTTCAAAAATGAAATACATACGTACGTATAAACGTATCCTAAACGATCATACGACTGACCGAGTTTGTCGTATTTTATCGCATAGGTGAATCCCCTACACTCTACATCATAAATCGGGGACTCCCCGACGCCCGACATAAATCATCGAGGCTTCAGCATTTTACCGTCGCGCTGTTTCCGTGCGCCGAGAGTTGTTTACGTTATCGAGCGTACACATTGTTTACGTTATCGCGCGTTCCGTTTGATCCCATAGAACGAAGTTTGTGTTTACATTAGCGCAAGTTTTCATTATCCCGTGTTTATGTCATCGAGCGTCTGTTGTAACTTCTTTCTGAAGCCACACAGCGCTGAAGATGGTTCTTCCACTCCTCGTAGTGCTGAAACTCCGATACTGCAATAGCCTTCAGCTGGTCGGTTGCAGCCGTTTGAATGTCTTAGACTGCCCCAAAATGAGGTGATTTTTCAATTTCGGGAAGAGAAAAAAGTCACAAGGATTCAAGTCAGGCGAATAAGGATGCTGAAGTTTAGCAAGAATTTTCGTTGCACTGTGTCCAAGTTTGAAGCAAAACCTTATAGCACTCTGTTGCTCGAAAATGTCACTAATTTTCAGAAAAAAAATCTCCACGGCCAACTCAATGACTCGAGCGAGTTCAAACTTGTACTGAGGGCGGATCCCATGTTCCCACATCTCCCCTCCAAGCCTGGCGCCTCCAGTGTTGCCAGATCGAAAACTACGTTGCCAGTCTTATAAATTAATCTACAGACCTCGTGGTCCGAATTCGTCGATCAAACAATTTCATTTACTAATCAATGCTTACATGAAGTTGATATTCGATGATGGGGAGCTCCTCATCCCCATTTCCATTGGAGGAAAACTGCTTCCTGACAGCGGCATACCGCACTGCTATCGTAATCGCGCAAATAAGGTTGTTCGAGTTTTCTTGCATGATTCCCACACGGCCCATGGAGAGGTTCTCCAAAGCGGCACCCAGGATCTTACCGGGATCCGTGAAACTGCTCTCGTATTCTCCATCTGGAGTTACGTCTGCCGTTCGGTTTAGCAGGCTTTCCCGCGGGACTCTGTAGTTATTGAACATTATGAATCTGGAACAAAATGGAACAGTGATGATTAAAAAGCAGTTACTTCAAATGTTTGTTCAGGTTACAATGGTTTATGAATAGATTCGTTTTTACTTCCCACGCCCATAGGGGAGGAAGTATTGTAATCGCGTAAAATTTCGAAATAGAGATATTGTTTTCTAGATGTACATCATGAAAAACCATGTCATTGCTCTGTCTGTCTGCTAGACTTGGGTAGTGTTCGAATACTCAGTATGTTTAATCCCATTTAGAATACATTTGGCTGGTATTTGAATACTATTCGAATACAAACACATGTGTCGTTGGTATTTGACTGAACACTTTTGGTCAATAGTCGGTATTCTGGATCCTGAATATCGTCTCTGAATCCCAATATTCGAATACCCACTTTGTATTCAAATCCCGGTATTCGAATCCTGTATTGGAATCGTGTTTTCGAATACTGTTTAGCTATTATTATGTACTGAGTTAAAACGCGCATTAAGATCCAGAGATATTGCCGGATGTGGAGTTTACACCTCTAATTCTATATTTCTATGATTAATGAACATTCCAATGAAAAGTCGTGTTGATTTTACTTACCCATTGTCAATGCCATTCAAACCAATTTTCTCGCCCATATCTCCAACCACAATTCCTGGATATGGCATCAGAGTATTTGGGTTCCTAATTGGAACAACGAATGCGTGCAAACCATGACATTGCTTTTTTGTATAAAGTTGTGCGAAAAGTAGGGCTATCGTACATTGTTTACCTAAAATATGTTTTTTGAAATTAGAGACCTCAAGTCTGAATTTTTCGTTTTAGTTAGATTTGTTAGAATTTAAAAAAATGTCAAGTCTTTGAACATTTGTGTTTTACCTAAATTTCCTACCCAGCATTTAGCTGCCTGGAAATCCGGTGTGTTGATGATAAATTCCTGAGTCTTTTCATCAAAAGTCGCTGTAGTCCTCATTTGTTTTGTATTGCTACCATGTGCTATTTCCGTAAGTGCAAGACAGGATAACATCTGGAAATTAAATAAACACTATTAAGACTTTGTTAAGCTGATTTGAGCAGTGTATCCGAAATGCAGATGGTGATTAGTCAGAGTGATAAACATATTTAAAATTAATTTACTTAAAATCTATTAAGGTTGAATCTAGAAACTGAATATTCAACGCACGTCCAATCAATCAAATATCCCTGAGGACCTTTAATGTTTCAACAGTCTTTATATGGCTCACAAATGGAATGAAAATCTAGACTAATCTTAATGAAACATACCTTATTACCTGCAAATGCATATCGTTCATGCCTCTCGGTTCCTAACGTAACTATGGTATTGCTAAATAATCCAACTCCAAGTGCATATTTGATGGATACATCAGGGAATGTGGAGTTAAGAGCCTCATTGCAAGCCATCAACAACCTAGTCTGAGAAACAGGAATCACTATACTGTATGTTACGAATACTATACCGTACGAATCATTTAGGATTGAGGTCGGCCTAAAACTTGGAATATTCACATAAGGTTACCGCTATTCCAATGACATAAAGGTTTTGTAATTTTTTCCAGTGGTGGCGGTGCCAAGGATAAAAACCGATGGAAATACCATCGCTCAAACTTCGGATTGTGCGTCTACCAGGAATTTTTTTTATTGAATATAAATAATCCACTGAGGCAACACTGAACGATATGCGGCTTGACGCTTGTTTCCTAGTGTTGCCTATTTTAGGCGACCGACTATGTGGCACAAAATTTAATTAATGCTCCATGCGTCTAAAGTGATTCCATTCAGACTACTTCCGTATGGTACATCATGCTATTATAAACAGTTACGTCAGCTGCTTATTTGGTAATCGATTTGATTCGTAAAAGGAAAGAGAAAAACGACAAGATATTGGATGATCAAGAAATTCAGTAAAATTTGTAGTGCTGACGATCATCTTTATTTCGAAATTTTACTTGGACGAGGAAAGAAGATTTTCAGTATTCATTTAAGCACCTCCCTTTTTTGCGAACAAATGCTGACTGCAAGTTCTTGTTTTTTTGTACATCCATCATCGTACAATTATATTTTGTTATTTTTATATACAGGGTGTCCGCAAAGTTGGGGTTTTCCTTTTCAGAAACAACTACCCTTGAAATAACAAAGGTAATGTGTAGTGAAACGAGGGCGACCAAGTAAAAAAAAAATAAAGGAAAAAGTACTCACTCTCCAGTTGATGAGAAGGGCTAAGTACGTCTCTGTCCGAAATCATACCGCTCCAACAGAAAATGAAATCAGCTGATGCGCTACCGAGCAGACGCAGGCAAACAAGGAAGGCAAAATGTTGCGTAAAAAGTCTAGGTATTGCATCCCGTCCAATCGATTTGGGAGAATAAATGGTCCAATGAGCATACCGTTCACCATGCCAGCCCAAACATTCACCGAAAATGTTTGTTGAAAATGTGCCCGACGGACAGCGTGCGGATTTTCTACTGACCAAACATGAGTGTTGCGAAAGTTATTCACCCCATTACGCGTGAACGTAGATTCGTCTGTCACCAATATGCACTTCAAAACGTCCGGATTATTGTCATGTTGATGCAACAACCACTCACAAAACCGCACTCTTGCTGGAAAATCGTCAGGTTGAAGGGCTTGTACACGTTGGACGTGAAACGGATACACCCCTCTTCACGCAGCGTTTGCCACACTTTAGTTTTTGATACTTGCACTTCTCTAGCCACGTCTCTAGTGCTTGTTGAGAGATTCTCGTCTACGCGGTTACCTCTACACGCGTGATCGTAACCGTCGGTTGAAGGTTGCATACTGACCTGACACACTGACCCCGACCCAGTCGGTGATGTCGCGGCTACAGGACGGTATTCAGATATTTTTGATATTGCAGAGCCCTTTATCTCGGTTCCCTTAAGACATTGGTGTATATGGTACTAAGAAAAATTGCTTATGTTTTCAAGATCTACACGTCGTGTAAAGGAAAACCCCAACTTTGCGGACACCCTGTATATTAATTAACCACTAATAAAGAAGCCAATTATTTTTCATTCCATCAACGTAAAATAATTATATTAATTTAACCGATGAATGTTTCAACTCATCGTTTTTAATTCTTATATCTTTGTACTCGGCGATTTTATGCCATAATTTCGGGCTAAACTCTTGTGCTTCGTTGGATCATACTAGAAATATGTGATTTAAGAGTTTGAGAATTTTTTTTGGTAGATTTCTCATTAAATTCGGTAGTTTGGCAGAATATGACTAAAATTTATAGATCTACTAAACAATTTGAAGATATGGTAACATAGACACAACTATGGTCAAATTGTAGCATTCGGCAAGGATACATATTTTTTCTCACTGTGATTTCTGGAGAGATTATGTGAAGCATGCACCAATGCCACATGCAACATGTTGCCTGAAAGTTGCTTCAGGGTGATTACGTCTTGAGGGCAGGAGTTAAAAAACGAATAGACGTTCACCAGTCGTCTGCGAATATAAACATTTTTCAAAGAAAGAAAAATGCATTCTCTCATATACTTTTTAGTACCCCTTCGTCAAGGAACCTCACAGTGCGGTAAGTTGTTATACAGAGCGATGCATAAGCGTCTTCATAGCCGTCAAGTAGATTGACTCTATACTTCCTACGCCTTCGGATCAACTTCTGGTAAAATTTTATTGGTGCACTATTTTTTCATGAAAAAATTTCCTCAGTGCACCAATCAGCATGCCCGTACACGGTAGCCTATTTCTTTGAAGGTCTCGTGTAAAATTCTTTGTCATCAATGTTTCATCACGCAATCAAGTAACCTTATTAAATCATACTCCAAGCATAATGCACTCAAATTTCAATCAGCATCCCTTGAAACGACAAAAAATGAAGTTTGAGCGATGATTATTTTTTGTCGCCAGTAGGCGTGGGAAGTAAATATTGCACTGACAATGGTTTATCTTCAATAGTTATACAGTCTATTACATCATCAGCTGTAAGGAGTTTCACAGCTGGCCAACAGTAAAGATACCACATGCCCCAGAATTTTAATTTTTTCTAAGTTAACAATACTTTTTTATACATACTTTAGGGCCTCAGGCAAAAGTTGACTGATGCATTGCCATTTGTCCAGAATTGCGCGTGAAGTGCAGAGTCGACCTACTTGACGCCTTTTTTTACTGTCTATAATTAGTTCAAATATTGACATACCCTTCTTTTATAAGGTATTTTCCTGATGTCTTTATGAGGAAACTTATAGTCAATATATCTTCTCAACTGCATTGCTGTACGCCTTTTTTTCTCGTCAGTTGTCAACTCCACTTCTGGTCTTTCGAAGATCGGGTCGTTTTCTAACGTCTTCCATACTTTCATCTGTTTATGAAAAGTGAGATTTTATGAACATTTGTCTATCAGGTTTAAGAAGTGATGATTATTTAACCTCAAAAAGAAACAAAATAATATTTTCAACAAAATGACTTTCCGAAATTGCATATATCAATAGGAGAAATTTGTGTTTATGGTAATAAATTAATTTCTCCATAATATTCAAATATACAATTTGTCTTATCTATTGTTTGCTTATTACTTTACAGCAAAAATAAAATTTGGCCTGTAAACATCGTCTCACGTCGACGTTTGTTACCTTTGTTTTCAGCATGTCTTCGTCTTCAAAAAATAACTTCAGTCTCTTCCAGTTAAATTTTGCTTGCTTCCTGTATGCATCTAAGGCCCCTGGAGAAAAATCTCCAAGCACGAGTTTGTCATCTACCAAATCCATCTTTGGTTATTCTGGAACAGAACGGGAATTATACGTCTTTTTGCAGAAATGTATAAAAATTTGAAAAAACATTTTTGTGTGAAAACGTTTCTGCTTTTTATTCCAAGTTTGCCGTATCCTGTTTGTTCTTGTTTATAAAGGAAGAAGACTATGTATCTTGTTATACAGGATGCCTCAACTAGATTTAAGCCATATAATTTATAAATATAATATATACAAGAAAATATGTAATACTTTAAAAAAAAAATTGCTTCATAGTTTTTTCGACTACATACAAACCGTCGGTCAATATTCTAAATATGGCGTATAATCATTATACATCAAGGTAATGTTGGGAGTTTCGGAATAGTATTGATTGCCTCACCCTAATGTGAAATCTAAACGTCACTAACTTTCACCGTCATATAATTGCGTAGTGAAGTTTGTTAACTGTAACTTTGACACAACCTTCATAACTTCTCCACCAGAGCACACTCGATTTGTTTCTTTACTTGTACGTCAACAATCATTAGGAATCTATTTTGAAAAGGTTGATGTCTCATAGATTGCGCCCTAGCTATGTATGAGAATATATTTACAGCGCCATCTATGAGACACTAATCTTCTCAAAGTAGATTTAAAATTATTGCGGAGACAAGAAACAGCTGTGATAGATGACGCTACTGCATCTCATTTCATTTCGGATAATTTTTTGGATGTGCGAATATAGTATTAGGTTGACTATTTTCACGTAGGATACGTTTAAAAAGTGGTTGATTTTGGTGTGATAGAAGGCGTTTGGCGCTGTCTCATTTCGATAGACCATACCTTCGGTATAGAGGATAGTTGCGATGCTTTCGTTCATTTGCCCAGAGACAAGAGACCAAGCCTGAACCGTGCTGACGAGTTGCCAAGAAGCACGAAACAGCTGTCCATGGTTGCTTTATCAGTGATGCTATATAATGTTCGGGTATCAAGCGGAACGTCCTTATCAGATTATCGGATTGTGAAAATTTTATAATTATTCCATGCTTATGTAATGCACGTGTATTTTTCATTCATTGTATATCATTGATTTATGGCTGTGTACATGATATTTTAAATAGTGTTTATATGTACACAGTATGTTACAGATCGTTAAATCACGCAGTAAAATATGTATGAAGCATACAGCATATACAGGGTGTCCCAGAAGTCGACGTCAAGCCGAAACCGGGTGATAGGCAAAGTCATAACAGCTATCAGAAAAATATTTAAAAAATTTTATGTATTTATTTTGAAAATTATAGGTCTTTGAAAAAAATATAGAAATTTCACACCCTACGGCAGCCTGTCAACTCCTGTTACTACAAATATTAACTTTTTTTGGATTTTATTTTTAGAATGTAATGATGAATAATGCATCTTAAAATCAGGTGATCGGGCTGGCCACGGTATTGTACCAGACCGACTTATCCATCTGCCTGGAAAGTTTTGATCGAGATACTCTCTCACTGAGAGTGCATAGTGCGCTGGGCAGCCATCATGCTGAAACCACATGTCCCTGTAAATACTCAGTGGCACGTCCACCAATAAATTTTGTACATGATTTTTCAAAAAATCCAAATAAACTTCAGCAGTCAAAGTCTCTGGGAACTCAAACGGACCGATTATTTTACCATTTAAAATTCCTGTCCAATGGTTTATCTTGAAGCGATATTGAGATTTATCTTCTCTCATCAAATGTGGGTTTGCTACGTGCCACTCGTGTAAGTTATGCAGGTTCATGTACCCTTTTTTCTTAAATGTGGTCTCATCCGACCATAAAATTTTTTCAAAGAACTGTGGATGTTTCCTGTGTCTTTCTAACATTGTGCAAACAAAAAGCAACTCGGGGCTCATAATCCCGGGGCAGGAGAGGTTGAACACGCTGTATGTGGTATGGATGAAGCACATCACTTACTTGCTATTGCACACTTTGATACCGATCAGTAGTCCTTCGTTTACTGCGCATCTTTACATGTTCGTGCTTGTTGGTTTCGTACTGTTACTAATTTTGGATTCGTGAACTGGACTGTTGATCGCTTGTGATTTGGATTTGGACTGTTTAATTGCTCTTCAAAACAACATTTGCTTTCCTTAGACTATCTTTGATAGTGTGATTGTGCAGTGCCGCTATGTCCGTGTACACCGTACAAGAATATGCTAACATGCACCTCATTTATGGGGAATGCAGATGCAATGCTAGTGCCGCAGCGAGACTTTACTGTGAGAGGTACCCGAATGCAGCTCGTCATCCAGATCATCGAGTGTTCACAAATGTGCACCGCTTACTGTTCTCAGAGGGCCAACTACCAAACCAATCACACGGTCAGGGAAGATTTTTCCTTCCTTACAAAGACGAGGTGCTAGGAGCTGTCGAAGAAGACCCGAGTACTTCAGTGCGTGCAATAGAACTAAAAACAGGTGTGCCCAAAAGTATAGCCCATAGAATCTTGCAAAAAAAACGTGCTCCATCCATACCACGTACAGCGTGTTCAAGCTCTTCTGCCCCGGGATTATGAGCCCCGAGTTGCTTTTTGTCGCACAATGTTAGAAAGACACAGGGAAGATCCACGGTTCTTTGAAAAACTTTTATGGTCAGATGAGACCACATTTAAGAAAGATGGGTACATGAACCTGCATAACTTACACGAGTGGCACGTAGCAAACCCACATTTGATGAGAGAAGATAAATCTCAATATCGCTTCAAGATACACCTTTGGACAGGAATTTTAAATGGTAAAATAATCGGTCCGTTTGAGTTCCCAGAGACTTTGACTGCTGAGGTTTATTTAGGTTTTTTGCAAAATCATTTAGAAAATTTATTGGAGGACATGCCACTGAGTATTTACAGGGACATGTGGTTTCAGCATGATGGCTGCCCAGCGCACTATGCACTCTCAGTGAGAGAGTATCTCGATCAAAACTTTCCAGGCAGATGGATAGGGCGGACTGGTACAATACCGTGGCCAGCCCGGTCACCAGATTTGAATGCGTTAGATTTTTTTACTGGTGAACTGTAAAAGAAAAAGTGTATTTCAAGCCGATTCAAAATGTAGCTGAGCTACGGCAAAGACTATTGGAAGCAGCTGAGTTTGTTAATAACCGTGGATTCGCTCGTTTAATAACCCGATCTTTTTTAAGAAGATGTCGAGCGTGTATTGCGGCTGAAGGAAAACAGTTTGAGCATTTGCTGTAAAGGTAAATCATCATCAGCAGCATTTTGACGCCCACTGTTGTGCAAACAGTTATCCTTACGGGGTCCTTGTGCGTTTTCATAATCGCTGTTTAATTAGGAAATTTTGAAAAATTTTCATCAGTTTTTCTTCAAATAAAAATTGTGCATAAGTTAACGAGTAATCTTCTGTTATACCATTTTGGAATCCTTATTAAATGCGCCAACTTTTAAGGTTACTTGCCAAACTCTCGTAGTACATTTTTTTCCAGTACAGCCAGTTAAAGTTGAGCAAAGTTCTACTTTGGAATACTTGGTTGGGAAATAAGTGGCAATTTTTCCTGTACGAGAAAAGTTGGCAGTAAGGTTGAGACACCAGTTTGAAGATGCATTATTCATCATTACATTGTAAAAATAAAATCCAAAAAAAGTTAATATTTGTAGTAACAGGAGTTGACAGACTGCCGTAGGGTGTGAAATTTCTATATTTTTTTCAAAGACCTATAATTTTCAAAACACATACATAAAATTCTTTTAAATATTTTTCTGATAGCTGTTATGACTTTGCCTATCACCCGGTTTCGGCTTGACGTCGACTTCTGGGACACCCTGTATAATATCTTTTATTTTAAATGTTTCGCGATTGCAATACTTCCTCGCCCAGTAGCGCAGGGAGTAAAAAGGTCTAAATTCGTTATTTACATGTTATGTATAAACGGTGTTGTCCAGCCCGATAGATAATTTTAAACTGGGTAAAAACATGGTAACTAAATTTGCCTAAAAAATGGACTTGGCCGGCTCTTGATCCTTAAATTGTAACAGATCATTGAGTGCTTTCACTTGCAGTTACAAGGGTAGTTATTTGCGTTATGTTACGGAATTAAGGTGAGACTTGTAGATACGGCAAATTATTTGTAACCTGTAGACTTGTAATACTTGTTGTTTCCGTGTTACAGGCGCTTGAGGTGAAAATGTGTGCATGTACCTATCGATTTTATATTGAACATACTCGACCGTATTGCATGCTATTTTTAAAACCGGGAACACTGCATGACGGGGCATGAAATCGAAAAAGGCTCGTTAGTTTATATTTTGTGATAAAAATAGGTTACGGATAATTAAAGAGGTTTAGAGCCAAGCGTATGATGATACATGTACAAAATTATTCGAGAACGCTCAACCAATTTTATTGAGTGCCATAAAAACCGACTGCCAAGATATGAAGCTACATAATTTCAAAAACATGGTTTAGATGAATAGTTCAAATTGGCATGTCACATCACAAAATTGTTTTTGAATAAATTTTAGATTGTTCCACAATTTCGTATGAACCGACGAGTAACTTGACCATGTTTGTTGAGTTCTTTCAACGATGACCAACTTTTAATATCTTCACTGGTCAAGGGTACCTGTATTACAAAGAATCACGGGTCGTAAGGGTGTCAGCCAATAAAATAACTGAAATTTCAGGTTGATGTTATCTATGAATTGTTTGCATTTAGATGTTTCAGAATACAAGTATCTTGAACTTTCATTAGCTTTTTCACTTCCCACGCCTACTGGTAGAGTAATTGTATTAGCATAAAAAAATGATATATGTATTATGTTTTCTTTATGACATATGACATATCACGTCAAACTATATAATTCATTGCCGTCGCTCTGTCTGTCCGCTAATCCTTGACCCCGCAATAACTTGAAAAGTAACGGTCGGATTTTGATGAAATTGCGCTACAAGGTTACTACTATGCCATGGACGAAAAAGCTTTGTAGTTTTTGAAAATCGGTTCAGAGGCTGCGGTGTAAAACGCAAAAAAAGAAACGCTCAAACCTGG